GATTTCAAAGATTTCCTGGAGGTCGTCGGCGTGGGAGGTGGCCTGCCTGCTCTTGACGATCATGTCGTCGACGTACGCCTCCATCGTCCGGCCAAGGACTGCTCTAAAGATTTTGGCCACCATCCTAGTATAGGTGGCGCCGGAGTTTTTGAGTCCGAAGGCCATGACGAGGTAGCAAAATATTCCCTCTGGGGTCATGAATGCTGTCTTCTCGGCGTCATCTTCGTGCATGGAGATCTGGTGGTACCCTCTGAAAGCGTCGAGGAACGACATCAACTCGCACCCCGCCGTCTCGTCCACCAATTGATCAATGTTGGGGAGAGGGAACGGGTCCATGGGGCACGCCTTGTTCAGGTCAGTGTAGTCAACACACATTCTGAACGTCGGCGGTTTCTGTGCGAGGACGACGTTGGCCAACCATGTTGGGTACTACACCTCTTTGATATGTTTGATCGATAGGAGCATGGCGACCTCCCCTTTGACGAAGTCCCGCCTGTCAGCGGACAAGTAGCGCCGCTTCTGTTTGACGGGCGTGGAGGCCGGATCGACGGTCAGCCGGTGAGTGATCACCTGGCGGCTGATGCCGGGCATATCGTCCGGGCCCCACGCGAAGACAACGGCGTATGACCGTAGGACGAGGAGGATGGCGTCTCGTTGGTCCTGGGGGAGTTGCTTTCCGACCCTGAGAACCCACTCCGGCCGGGAGGTATCCAGAGGGATTTCCTCGACCTCCTCGGCCGGCTCCGCATGTGGCCTCTCCTCGTCCATGGCGACGGCGGCCGTGATGGTGTCTATCCGCTGTCCTTCCCTTTCGGCCGGCCTCGTCAGCTTGAGGTAGCAAGCTCTGGCTATCCTTTGATTTCCTCTGGCGTAGCCGATACCGTCATTGGTGGGGAACTTCAAGCATAGGTGCTTCATGGAGATGATGGCCTCCAAGTCCTCCAGCGCTGGCCGGCCCAAGATCAGGTTGTGGGCGCACTGGAGGTTGACCACCATGAACTCCATGTCAATTTTGGCATGGTGGGGGCCGTCACCGACTTCCACGGGGAGGACTATCGTGCCCTCGGCGTCGATAGAGTCCCCGGTGAAGCCGGATAACGGGGTCTTGATCGGCTTCAGCAGAGCTCTGTCCAGCTTCAGCTGCTTGAAGGTGTCCAAGTACATCACATTGACGGAGCTCCCCGTATCGATGTAAGTACGGTGGATGATGGAGTCACCGATCTCACATCGGATGACGAGGGCATCCCTGTGTGATTCCGTACCCGGAGGCAGATCCTTGTCGGTGAAGGTGATCACCTCCATCCGCTGCTTCTTCGGCTGGGGGGGAACGTGGGACACCTCCCCAATGTAAAGAGATTGGGCCCATTTCTTTCTCTGAGTGGCGGAGTCCCCCGCAGTGTTTCCGCCTACGATGAGGTGGACGTGATTCTTCTTCGGCGGAGGCTCCTCGAAGTCCTCGTCGTCGCTGAGCCTACCAATCTCGCGCTTCTTCGCAGAGGGTTCGCCCCCACGTTTGCCGGTGTTTACCCAAGTGTTTTTACGTGGGCCACCTTTGACAAACTGGGAGAGTTCCCCCTGGCGAATAAGACGCTCGATGGCCTTCTTCAATGTGATGCAATCGTCGGTGTTGTGCGACGAGTTCTTGTGGAACCGGCAGTACGTGCCGCCCTGCTGGATGGCCAGGATCTCCTCGGCCGGCCGAGGAGCCTGCTCGATGAGGCCGTGCTTCTCGGCATAATCGAGGATGGTGCCATCCGGGTGGGTGAGGGCTACCCCCGGCCGTTCCAGCCTCGGCCGTCAGTGGCGGTCTTTCTTACTTTGTCCACCAGAGCCGTGGCGGCCCTGGGCACCCTGGCCGGCCGGGGACGGACCCGAGGCCGGCGAAGGATTTGTCTTCTTGGGGGGATGGCCCCCCTCTCTCTTGTGATTGTGTAGCTCGTCGGCGTCGGCATACAAGCCTCCGCGTTGGAGCGCCTTGGCGTACGACCTCGGGGGGTCAGTGATGAGGCTTCTGGCGTACGGGGAGCTGCGGAGGGCTCCCTGGTACAAGGCGAGGAGGGTGCGCTCATCGGCCCCCTCGACCTCCTCGGTCTCCCTCGTCCACCGGTCGATGAATGACCGGAGGGACTCCTCGTGCTGTTGTTTGACGGAGAGGAGGTGGGTGAAATACTTCTTGGCGCGCTTCCTCCCGGCAAAGTGAGTGAGGAAGCGCTGGGCGAGATCCTGCCATGAGTCGATGCTTCCTTCTGGCAGTCCGTTGAACCACTCGTACGCAGGCCCCTCGAGAGTAGAGAGGAACCAACGGCAGAGGTATTCGTCGGACGCGTTCACCATCAGCATGTTGTTTTGATAGCGGCTGAAGTGCTCCTGGGGGTCTGATCGGCCATCGTAGGACTTGATGGCGTTCCCCCTGTACTTCTCAGGGATGGGGGCCGAGAGGACCCTGTTGGTGAAAGGGGTCCTAGTCCTGACCTGGATGATGGGGTCACCTCGCCCTTCGGCCAGCTCCCTCTCCAGGGCGCTGACTTTGTTCATGAGCGCGTTGAGGCCGGGGTCGTTGGAGGCGCCGGCCGTAGGGATGTTGGCCGACTGCTTGGCCTCCATCTGAGCCAACCTCCTTTCCAGCTGGGCGATGACCTCGTCCCGGGGGTCCCTGTCGGCCGCGGCGGCACCCGGCTGGTTCCTCAGGCGCTCGTTGTGAGCCGCGTCGATCTGGTGACGCGCATCATCCTCGTGCAACTTCCCCTTGCCTTTGTCCGGGCGGGGCTGGTCCGCTGTCCAGGACACAGACCCCAAACTTTCCCTTGGCGAGCCAGGACGAAGATCACCAATCCGTCCCGCCATCCTCTCCGAAACCGGACGACGGCGCGTGTCACCTAGCCTATTGAAGGTAGAGGCTTTTCCACGCGCTGGGGTCTGCCCGGGCCGAAGAGGGGAGGCAGGGTGGGAGTGGGACGACGCCGTGTCCTGGGCCACAACCCCCTCATTGTTGCCTATCTGGTCGGCCGATGGTCGGGGATGAGGAGGTGGAGTGACGTTTCCCCCGGTCCTTGGCAAGAGCGCGCTGAGGACGGTGGGATTCTGAGCCAAGCTGGCGATGATAGCCGACAGTGCGGCCTGGACCTGAGGATCCACGGACGGAGAGGCCGCGGCCATAGGGTGGGCCGGGGCGTGGTCCGCTTTCTCAGCTCGTTTCTTCTCCAGGCCGAGGCGGGCGTCGGGGACTCCGCCGTTGAGTTGGTTGCGGAGGTCCGTCGTGAGGTTGAAGGCCTCCTGGAAGAGGTCCCCTCCGCCGACCTGGTCGGCCGTGGCGTCCTCATCGTGCTCCCTGGGCTCTTGGTCCTCGGGGATGGCTTTGCTGACGAGGTTGCGGTTTGACTTAGTTCTCCCCATGATCAGTGGTTAGCTGTGCTTGGTAGCGACGAAGGGTGCTAACTTGATTGTTCTAGCTCTCAACGAGAGCACCAAATGATAGAGTATATCTCTTAGATTCTAGAGAGAAGTGAGAGCTAGAGAGAGAAGTGCAATAATATGCTTCAATAGAATGAATTTGTAACCCCTATAACTACTCCCAAGGGGAGTATTTATAGAGAAAATTAGGGTTGGGCTCCCAAGCCTTGGGCTTGGGAGGCCCATTTACAACTGGACCGCTACTGGGCCGAATACAAAGCCTCTAATGGGCTGTACAAATGAGTGAGTATAGGATCCGGTTCTGGGAGGTCCTCATGGCCGACGAGGGCGTGACCGACGAGGGCACGGCCGACGAGGGCGCGGCTGACGAGGGCACCCGAGTCCCTTAGACTCAGGACCGTAATCCGAGTTGGCACCTTTTCGGCCGACGGGGACGTCTTGGCCGACGGGGGCGCCACTCTGTTGTCTTGTGCTCCGTTCTTCCGAGTATGTGGGTCCTGGGGCTCAGACCCATATACTCCATCAAGCCCCATTAGAGAAAGCCTATTTCTATCTCACTCCTTTGATGTCTTGGCACATGATATTAAGTTTTACAAAGCATATTAGGGCGTCATGTTTTATCAAGTCTAGACTATATATAACTCGTGTGGTCTGGAAAATTAAAAGTGGATGGACCTAGCGTATCACACTAGGATTTTGGGATCAATTGGTGTCGTCTCCGACGAGTTGGCGAGTAAATTTTGAACAACGTTTCCGGAGTAGCGAGAACAGAGCACATGTAGCGTATCGATAGTACATGGAGTGATTCAATAGATTGTCGCTACTACCAATCACGAGTATTCTTCAGCCACCACCGTGCATCAGGAGGGCTTTTCTTCAGCGTTCCAAAATAAACTTCCACTTTTCCTTTGTAAAGAATTTGTGGTTCACAACAATTCTTACACATTTATCTTTCATCTGCACAACTCTCCACTATACAATACCCACGATCTTAATACATGTGCCATTTGTACTATGGAAGAAAATATTGGGACGAAGGAAGTACTTATTATTTATATACTCCCTCCGTCTCTCTGAAAATCCTTCTCACTTTCATTTTTGGGCCGTTCTAAAAAATTCTTCTCACTTACCATTTTTGGACAATTTGTGTGATTCAAATTCATTTCATCTTTTTCTTACACAACCACAACCATACATTTCCACTTTATTCCACTTTTTTAATATCCGTGCCCAGTAAAACTGGGAAGGATTTTCAGGGAGGAAGGGAGTGTTTATTACTACCTCCGTCCCGAAATAATCGTCCTAGTTTGACCTTCACACAAATTAAGAAAATGATGTTGACTTCACACCGTAGTGACACTGTTTGGCACTGTAGCGACACTGTTTGACACTGTTTTGTATAGATTTTTTTACCAAATAAGGAAAGGAGACAATTATTTCGGGACGGATCGAAAAAGAAAGCAGACAATTATTTCGGGACGGATGGAGTATTAGTTTTTAATCTCTAAACCATTACTGTTAAAATATAGTTGGGAATATTGTCTGTCCAACTGTCCAAGTGCACAACCCCCCATCAGATTCCTCCCACCCAACTAAGCAAGATTATTTACAAAGGATGGGATTAAACAGATGATCTACGAAAGTGAGAGCCAATGCAATTACGCACCGTCGGTTACAATTTCCCTCTCTAATCTTAACAGTATTTCCCTTTTCTGCTACGTAAAAGAAAGAAAGAAGGAAGAAATTCTTGAATCCAATCACCCTTTCCCTCGTTTGCTCTGTCCGTCCACATCAAACGCTTGCATTAGCCGTTCTTAATTTGCTAAATGGTACAAATTATCTGAATGAAGAAGAAACAAGAGCAGAAAACTCAGTATTGGCTCAAATAGCAAAGGGTTGGAGCTCAAAAATTCCAGATCTTTGTTTTTTTCACGGATAGAAAAATAGATTTCAAGCTGGAGCTTTCTTGATTTCTGTTTGTGTGTGCGGGATGGGGTGGAAGTATAAGGCCGGTCTCTTCCTTATTGCTGCAGTTGTTGTCATTTGGGTTACCTCCGCGGAAGTCACCCAGGTCAAAGCTCTTCCTTCAATCGTTCTCAATTTTTTTTTTCTTTTCTTACTCAATAATAATCTTGCCAGATACGTTTTTCGGGGGGATCAAATTGTTCATTATATGTTTGGTAGTAGGTTGTTCATTGAAGTATGTTGCTCTTTAACAGGGTATTTTTCATATCTGTAATTGCTTGATCATTGGTACAGAAAGATTCAATGTGTGATGGAATTGTATGCTGGATTTCTCCCGGAATGGAAAATAGAGCTTTAAAAACAAACATTACTCATTTTAGCCCTCATACATATTTGACAATGAATTTATAGCGTATTTTCATCTGCCCACTGAGGCACTGAATTTAGGGTCAATTTGGTTGGTCATTAACTATGCAATATGGGCCAGATTTAATCAGTAGCCTACAACAGTACCCCTCTTATTTAGATCTATATATTCTTGAAGACTAAAATGAGTTGAAATTGGATAAAAAAAGACCATTTTGAATCAAGAAAGAGTTTGGGGACCAAACTTAGTAGTACTCCCTCCGTCTGTTAATGAACTTTCTAGTTTGAATATCACACTCTCAAGGAAATCAATGTTTTTCTTCCACATCCTGAAATGCCCTTTTTACTTAGGGTAAATAATACATTAGAGTACTGTTTTGACACTTTCTAGTCATTTTTTTATACATCAGAAAGGATGTGAAAGAAATTGATAATACTTTCTTTACCAAATAAGGAAAGAAGAATTTATCTAGGGACATCCCAAAAAGGAATACATGAACATCTTTATGGGACTGATAGAGTAGTGTATAGTCGCAGGACTAAATTGGGTATTGCCTCTTCAAAATTTGCAAAAGTCATAATACTGAATGTAACTGAAATAAACAATAGTGTTTTGATTATGAGTGTCTGGATGTTTACAGGGAATTTTTGTGGACTATAAGCAACCATTTGCAGTGACTTATCTTGGAGCTTCGTTGCTAGTAATATATCTGCCAATAGCATTTTTAAAAGACTGGATATGTAGTTATGTCAACAGACGCCCTACTAAAAGTGTCAAGACCAGTGTAAACAGTGATTTGTCCTGCACTAGCGTTACCTCTCCTTTGAAGTATGTCGGGGCAAAAGTCTTTGAGATTGATGTTCATGGATCACTGAACAGAAAAGACAGTGACCTAAATCTTGCTGGAGATCAAGAAGAAGGAGCACCATTGATTATAAGTAGCTCCATGGGGGTTGATGCCACTCATGCCAAGAAAGAAAAACAGATTACAACCAGAGACATTGCTCGCTATGGCTTTTATATCGCCCCTATCTGGTTTGTCACTGAGGTATATCGCCCCATTACTCAGTTTTTTCTTTCCTTTGATAACCACATTTGTTAGATTAACTTGTTGATTAAGTGGCATTTTGCTAGCAACTTTTTCAGCTTAAAGATATGATTGTGTACTTAACATGAATTTATTGTTTGGCCGTGCATGTCAAATTGGTTAATTACAAAAAGAAGCCAGGCATGAGGTGCTTTTTTGGCTGAAGTTGCTTGCATTATTTTAACCTTGTTCGTTTGATTTTTCTTTTGCTTATGTTTTTTTCATACTTCAATTTCTATGACTTACCTAAATCAGCCAGTATTTAATCCAAATTCACTCTTACCGAATCGGCATTTAGACTCTCCTGGAATATTCAGTAGGTGGGAGGGGAGAGTGACAGAATCTCCAGTGTTTAATGGAGACAGAACCCCGCCTAATCCTTTTCTCCAGTTTGGTTGGGGGGCTTTGGATGGGAGGGAAGAAAAGTGGAGTGATTTGTGTTTAGTTCGGTAGGGGGGAGGGGGGAGTGTAGGAGCTATAGACTCCTCCAAACTCCTCAAGCTCATTCATCAGTGCTACCCAATTTGCAGTACTTTTGGAGTAGCATTCTTTCTCACTTTTTCATCTTTTTCTTAATCAATACTGTTCTAAACTATTAGTGCTATAGATTTAGATTACTTCATTTTTAATACCACCTCCGTCCCAATTTACTTAGCCATCTTTGACTTTTCCAGTCAAAGGTGGTAAACTTTGACCAATTATTTAAACTAATATATTTATGCAAGATTTAATAATTTTATACTTTTATGATAGTATTTTTAACAAAGAACATTTTCATATCATTTTCATATTATTGATACTTTCTCTATATAAACATATAATCGGTCAAAGTTAGACGTCATTGACTTGAAAAGTCAAGTTTGGCTAACTAAAATGGGACGGAGGGAGTATCAAATATTTTCCAAAATAATATTTTTGCATCACCTCTCCATTTAAACAAGTTCACAATTCAGCAACAAATAAAAAATATATGCTCAATTGTGTCAATCCTTTTTGCAGTACTTATCAAACGCTGCACTTGCATATACCAGTGTGGCAAGTACAACAGTATTGTCTGCTACATCAGGATTATTCACACTCTTTTTTGGTGTAATTCTGGGGGAAGACTCCTTAAATATGTCAAAGATAGTTGCTGTGCTAATCAGCTTGGCTGGAGTGATTATGACCACTTTAGGGAAAACTTGGGCCACAGATGAGTCTGAGTTAAATTCTTCTTTGTACGTCTTTCTTTTACTTGTACTATTTGACTCTTCACCTTTTCTGTGTGCATTTGTTTAATTCTGTGTCTTAAACTCTGTGTCTAAATTGGATATCCATAATAGGTTTCTAGGAAAACCCCTCCTCTTGAGAATACTTTTAGGGGGAGTTAGGCTTAATTTACCATGATATTAATGTATGGTCTGAAAGTGCCATGGTGGTTTGTGGGGTGTAAATCCGTTCAATGATTTGAGGTAACCTGTTTGGTGGTCCGTTTGGGCCTTTTTGTCCACCCTTCAGTTCTTCACTTCACCTCTGGAGAAACTTTTTGGAGTGAGTTAGGCCCAATTTAGCGTGCCATTATGCCATCAAAGTGTGGTCCCATGGTGCCCATCCACTGAATGGTTTGGACGGCCTGTTTAGGGCTGGTTTCGATCCACTTGTCCATCCATTCATTCAGTTTTCTAGCCAAGTAGTCAGGCAGGTTTAGACTGAGGGGTGTAAGTGAAGTACCCACCTCGGTTATCTACCGTGTTTAAGTCATCATCATTTTCATTTACCCCAGTGCCGCAAAGGCTCCCACCTACGGTGGGGTAAGGGGGGGGGGGTCGGATGTACGCAGTCTTACCCCTGTACTAAAGCATAGAGAGATTGTTTCCGGATGACCCATAGTGAAAATTCCGTCCAAAATTGCCTGGACCGACTGCTGCTTCATAACAAAGAAGCGCAGACAGTTTAGTGAGCCATTTTGCTTTATTCCATCATAATCTCAAGCCAAAAAATAATGAATCTTTGGCTTAAGTGATGGAAATGATGGAAATAATCCAAAATTGCAAATGATGGAAGGATCTACCGTGTTTAGGTAAGTGAACCTTAAACCTCGGGGATTCTTTTGGGGTGACTTGGTTTAATTCTAAGTAGGACTCAGTTTAACAATACAGAGTATTGGAGTAATCACCACCACCACCGTAATCCCAACTATGTAATGTCATAATAAAATCTTGCTATAAGAATAAGTAAATTTATTACTATTACTTAATTACATTTCTTTTCTTTTTGTTATTTTATGAGTTTACATTTTGTACTTTTATGCTTTCAGGGTATTGACTTATCGTTGAACTTTTTGTTTCTTTTAAAGAAGCGGGAAGCGCTCAATCATAGGTGATTGCTTTGGCCTTTTATCAGCTACAACATATGGACTGTTTACAGGTTTTTGGCACTCTTTACTTTTTTTTGGGACATTGAAATGTCGACTACCTAATAGATGACCTCTTTGGTAATGAATCTAACCTATCACATTACAGTACTTCTTAAGAAGTTTGCGGGTGAAGAGGGAGAACGTGTTGATATGCAAAAGCTATTTGGGTATATTGGACTATTTACCCTTGTGGCACTTTGGTGGCTTGGTAAGACCTCTGTCCATACATAAATTTGTGTCAATTGAATTTCAAAGAAATGACTTATCACTTATTTTATGTATTTTATTTTTTAGTTGCAAGTATTTATATAGGGTAGGAAATCTTTATTGAATAGTGAGTTTCTTGGTTAGTGCACACACCCCTCCTACAGACTAAAAGTTTACATTGAAGAAAACTGTATAGGTTCTTATGGTGGCATTGGTTAAGAACAAGACTGAGTCTAACTCAACCCTAAAAGAGCCAATGTAGTCATACGAGGAGTTTCTATTTTCGAATAGTCATATTTAGCCGATGTAGGATAAATTCAAGATTGCATTATTATTTATTTGTGCAAAAATTGTTTTAGTGATTCAAAGTAAATTTTACTTTATTTTCATATTGTTGATGATTATTTACTCTTTTTCTTACTTCAATATTTTATTTCAGTATGGCCTTTGATGGCTTTGGGCATCGAACCCAAGTTTACAATTCCTCATTCTGCAAAAGTGGATGAAGTTGTGATCGCCAACGGACTTATTGGAAGTGTTATTTCTGATTACTGTTGGTATGAATGAATACCAGTGCTCAATGGGATTTTCATTTTGTGATGTGGCAAGTGTCGCTGTGATTCCTTATCTTCAAAGGAAGCTAATAATGACATAATGTTGTTTTTTAGGGCATTATGTGTTGTTTGGACAACTCCATTGGTGGCAACCTTAGGGATGTCTCTCACGATTCCGCTTGCTATGGTAGCTGACATGGTTATTCATGGCCGGCATTATTCCGCCATTTATATTCTTGGTTCAACTCAGGTAGTATACTATTCAGTTTACAACAAACTTGAAACTGTCACTTTTGTTGTTCCTGTTATTATTGTTGAACTCATTATTACTTTTTCTTGTTGGTATTATCATACTACCTACATCCCAAAATAATTTTTTCCTAGATAATTTCATCCATATTGAGCAGCCCTATAAAGTAACCAACACACCCTTATTTAAGAGTAGGGATAAAAGTTCTTTTAACCCCTAATACACAAACTAAATTATTTATTACTTCAAGATGATTAAATATGAGCAATTTTGGGAGATAAAAGGAAAATTATTTAGGGAGGTCCCGGGTTCAATACTCAATAGAGTGACTTTGATCCCAGTTTACCCTAGACCCCTCCCCCGACCCCCCTGGGGTAAAAAGAAGTTTTTAAAAAAGGAAAGTTATTTAGGGACAAAAAGACAATCATCCTCGGACAAAGAGAGTATTTGTTTCTTGTCATGCTCTATGATGAGAGAAATAATATCAGGCTTAACCTTTATTGGTAGCCCTAACAGATATATTTATAGTAAAAAGAGTTCTAATTACAATAGGAATCCCACAACAACAATAATAATAATAAAACTACTCTATTACACCCTCTCAAGCTGTGCAGGAGAAACAATGCGCAGATTGTCACGAAGAAGAGTAAAACGTTGAGGCGATAAACACTTGGTAAAAATATCTGCCAGCTGAGCCTGTGTGGGAACATACTTAACACGGAGATCACCATGAGCCACTCGCTCACGAACAAAGTGATAGTCAATATTAATATGCTTACTCCTGGCATGCTGAATGGGATTGACCGAGAAATAAGAAACAGATACATTATCACAGTACAAGGTAGTTGGTACACGGGCAGGAAACCCCAACTCAAACAACACTGATCGTATGTGAAGAGTATCCTGAACCGTGAAAGCTATGGCTCTATATTCAGCTTCAGTGGAAGAACGGGAAACAGTGAGCTGCTTTTTGGACCGCTAGGAGATTAGATTTGGACCTAGAAAAACGGCATAGCCAGAGGTAGACCTGCCTGTGTCAGGACATCCAACCCAATCAGCATCAGAATAAGCAATGACCTCTGTAGGACCGCGTGAGGTCTGTAAAAGGAGACCATGAGTGGATGTTCCCTGAAGATACCTGAAAATACGCTTAACAGCTAACATATGTGAAGTGCGTGGGGCATGCATAAATTGAGAAACCAGGTGTACAACAAAAGTAATATCTGGTCTAGTCAAAGTCAAATACTGTAACACACCTACCATACTCCTGTATACCGTGGCATCAACAATGAGCTCACCATCACAAAGGGAAAGTTTTGTACGACTAGGAAGAGGAGAGCGAACAGGTTTTAAAGTATGTAAATGAAAACGATGAAGAAGATCAGATATATACTTATGTTGAGAAAGGAACAGACCAAAGGGAGTACCAGTGGCTCTTGATACCATGAGAGAAATAATATCAGGCTTAACCTTAATGGTAAATATCAGATATATTTATAGTAAAAAGAGTTATAATTACAATAGGAATCCCACAACAACAACAATAATAAAACTAAGCTATTATATGAGTCTATGATATTCTTATTGCTAGGATTTGATTTTCTTGTTATTTTTTACTTGTTGATGACGTTTTGGACACCACATAATCTCAATATACTCCCTCCTTTGTTTGGGAGAATGAATTACAGGTATTTGCTGGGTTCGTAATAGCTAATCTATCTGAGCGGATCTCAAAACTCTTTGGGTTATAGCATTCAACCAACAGTCTTGAAGCACCGGTGTTTTCCTCATCACATTTCGAGTAATTTTTTTCGTCACACATTATTCATTTGATTTATTTATTTCTGATGAAGACAATGCTGCGTGAAGCTGGTTGTTGTTAGATCAATGGTTTGTTAGAAAAGATGTAATATTTTTTGTTGGGGCATGGTGATGTCATCTCTAAGTACACTTTTTTTTACCACACATGAATGCGTTTGAAGATGTATACATATTTTTCAAATTTATGAAAAGCTGTTGTATAAAGATGAGTTTAACCTGAAATAGTGTGCGTCGGCTTAAAATACACACACACACATACGCAGGGGCGGAGGTAGAGGGGGCCAACCGGGCCCACCCCAAATTTGAAAAATGTGTGTATTTTAGTGTATAAATTTGAGTGTAAAAATTTATCTGAAAAAGTTCTTTGTACTAACCTACCCCAAGTTCTTTGTACTAACCTACCCCAACTTTCGATCCTGGCCACGCCTTATATATACGTAGTATATAGTATTGATCTGGTCAGGCGCGTCTGACGAGACCCGCCGTGTGGACGTGCCCGTTTGAGGGTCTTCCCAGTGGAACTTTTTGATGAAACTTTCCTTTCTCTCTATATATATAGAATATAAAAATACAATTACTTTCCAAAAGTTCAAATTTCAATGTTTAGCGGGTCAAGAACAAATTGCTTTGAGATTATACTTTCTTTATCCAGAAATGATGTTTGTGTTTTCCTTCTCATTCCGTTTGATATTAATCTTCCTTATTTTTTAAATGTGTGTTTGGTATTGTTTTTATCTATTTCAGCAGTACATTTTCATTTTTTAAAACATGCTTCTAAATAACTGTGTCATGCTATATGCTGAAGGTTATTTTAGCAACGAGGGAGTAACAAAATGTTTTAATAAAAAAAAAACACTTATTAGTTATTACGTCAAACCTATCAGCTGACTATTCTGTAACTACTCTGTTTTATAAGGTCAAACCTACTCTTATTTATAAATTATAAGGTCAAACCTACTCTGTTTGATATCCTTTTTACTTCTATCAGCTGACTATTCTGTAACTTATTTGGCTGTATTAATTATGTAAATCATCCGGCAATAAAGTGTTTAAGTTGATTTGTTTTGCTAAAATAAATACAATTGACATACACTATTTTTTGTAAATATATCACGGAGCTTATTTGTAGTTTTTTTAACCCGGAAGGCAAACCACCAAAATCAGTGGGGCTTATTTGTAGTTAATCAAATATATTAATTATTAACATATTAATACAATTTTAGTTAAAAGAGAATCACATTGGACTATTAGACTAAATCTGTAAAGACAAAAACACCAATTGCAACATTTTCTACATAAATAAGGCAATGGCAGTATGCTACATCATAGCACACTCCTGTGGCGCCACTCCTTGTGACGACGGCTACTATTGTCCAGTGGCGCCATTGTTTGCTATTTTCCAATTGTCCAGTGCCATCGTGGTCGGCTGTTGCCATTGTATTATGCATTTCGGTTTCATTTTTTAACCAGTTCAGTTTATAACAGGTTGGGAGAAGAATTATAAATGAAAACAGAAAATGAAATAATGTCCCACCCTATTGACTTCGAATACAATTAGTAACTGCTACTAATGCTTCACACATTAGTTTTACTGTATAATTTAATGTTATTTATCATTTTAAAATTTACTCTAATTCACAAACTTCTTGAACAGAAAGAAAAAGGATCTTTATTGAATATGACTAAGGGCAAGTAGCATTACAAAGAAACAAAAGAACCAAACAAACAAGGAGGGAAGGAATGAGACTTGTTCAGTTGTGCTTATACTGTACATTACAAGATACATGAGGAGAATCCCTAATGCTGTGTACTATTGCCTATTGGAGTTTTCTTGCTCCAGTTATTTGGATCTGACCACCAGCTTCATCATCCAATTTCAAAGTTCAAACTGGACCATTGATGGAGTTTCAATTGAGTTCTGTTTATTTTCTCAAAAACAAAAAGGTTGAGAAAAGAAAAAAAAAGTATAAAAGATAAGTGTTTTTACTAGTGTGTCCTATGTAATATATATGTCATCACTTTTTTCTATAAAAGAGGGAGGAAACAACCTCAGTCCCTCTAAACTGGGACTAGGAAAATTGCGACTAAGTTCATAATATGCTCATAACTCTCTGAGTATTGGTTGGGGCGTCCACTTGAGATGCAAGTTTAGTTTTCCAGTCTGGGTTCCATCTACAGGGAAGCAATCTGTAAATTCTCCTTCCATTATAACTCTTGTAAGTGTCATTATACATCGGCCAATTTTATCCTGAAAACAATAAATGTTATTTGTAAAGGTTATACGGTTTATACTGAATTGTTTAGTAAAATATGTAATGGAGATGGTCTCATCTCCATTAATGAAATTTATTCGTCCCTTAGTAGTGTCATGCATTTTAAGATTTGAAACACTACTATGGTCTATGGAATAGAAGATCTAATTCCAGAGTGATGTGAATCTGCGTTAAAAATTCTCATTGGCTTTTGGTACACGAGTGAGAAAATAAAATTCTGTGGTTTGGATTTTTTTATAGAAGAAAAATACCTATCACATAAATTTCTTTGAATAAAAGTAATCGATAGCATTATAGTTTATGATGAAACCAAACTAAATGTTACCAATCAATGCATAAGATACTTTACCTTCCCAAAGGTGTCATGGTCCCAAACTTCCAATATTAGCAAATCCCGCAATCCATCCTCGACGATTATGTCAAATGTCTGGTTCCAAACAGGATTCAACGTGTTGTTCAAAACCTGACATTTTCATTTTTAAGTGTATGTGTCAATGACTAAGTTTTGACTTTTGAGATATAAGTGTAAAATCAGTAAATGGAAAGATGAAAGAATGAATACAAAAAGCTCACTCTAGTTTTGCTCTTTTGTTCGGATTTTTTCATTGTTATAACAACAAAAGGGTCAGATTTTCCTGACAGATCAGTAGCGGGCAACTCTTCAGCAGATATAACTGTCACGGTGAGTACCCCTCTAAAGAGGATGTCACTTTTCTTCTGTACATTTGACTTTGTGTTTAGTTGTTCAGAAGGGTCTGGTTCTGGCCTAAGGGCCTTCTCCAAGGAAGTCAGTCTAAAATCTGCATTGAAAGCGTTCATGAATATGCTCTCAGTCCCGTAAGGACAATAAAGTAACTCCAAGTGTACCTGTAATAAGGGGTGTGATTCAAAACTTGAACTATTAAGAGCGAAAACACGACCTCTATGAACTTTGCTCTCAGTTCAACTAAATCACAATACAAACCACACTTCAACCTAAAACTATTAAGACTCTCCCTTAAGTCGGGATTGACCCATTTTGAATTTAATCGGTTGATCGCTTCTAATAGTAAATAACCCTTACATTGGAGATCTAAGCATTTTGAATTTGCTATTGGACTCCCCTAAAGATGCTCAGTTGGCTACTTGCAATTGGAGAACTCTAAGTCTGAAGGTCTCAAGTATTTTAGACAGACAAAGTGGACCAGATATTCTTTGGTATTATATTGAACATTTAATTCAACCAATCAGTTAGTCAAACCTAAATCTTTATAAATTACTATATTCGATGTGTGACACTTAACATGTTGGGTTCAAAACCGGGAGTATGGAAGCTCGCACTCTTACCTGGCCTCGGTTTTTCGTGTCCCTTTGTAATTCTAAATCCTTCACAAGTTTCAACCAAACAACTTTCACTTTCCCGGGCTCAAGCTCTTTCAATGGAAACTGAGCACAACCAATAAATTCCGAAGACTGAACCCCCTCATCATCATATACCTTAACCGTCAAGTGTTGAGTAGATACATCTTCAACTTCAAACTCAAAATGCTCATTCCAGATTGGATTCAATGAGTTATTCTTTAGAGGAGAGAAAAAGATGATTTAAAAATCTTGAAAATGTACAAAACAGAATAAGATAAAAAGGTTCAACAAGTGGACAATGAACTAACTTAGTTGTCTTACAATAACTTTGCTGTTCTTCATTCTGGCACGTAGTGGGCGGATGAACACCTCTGCGAATGGATCAGATTTCCCGATTATATCTTTGTTTGTTAACTCTTTGGCTTGGATGAGCTTCACTTCTAACAATCCAACAGGCTTCAAGTCCAAATCACTTTAAAGACCAAAGAAGTATTACAAAACAGTACTAGTTTTGGTATAATGAGAAAAATATGGCACACACACATCTATATATCCCAACAATGGCAAACATGTTGACATTTCCAAACAATTGTGTTATTTGATTTGAAATAACACAGTTGTTTTGATCTAAATGTATTTAAATAATTTTTATCTAATGCAACCATGAAAGTGGATTCAACCAGTGTAATGTTTTGATAAAATTCTGGCTCAAAATTCCAAAAAATGCCTACCAAATGGACACTTATCCATCTATTATGCTTATAAGAAGAATCCAAATAAAGCTGTAAAACGAAGCTTCATGGACACAATATATTTTGCACGCAGGGAGTAATTACTGACGATTTAGAGTGTATAGATACCTATAGTCTCCTGGGATTATGGGTATGATGATACGGACTGGCCAAGTAATAGAGTCTTCAATGGCATCCCGTATTGTACTCTATACAATATAATGAAGAAAGCAAAATCGGAGAGAAAATGTTAGCTTCCTACTTTGTGTGTCATTCTATATGGACAAGGAGGATATCACCGGCGTAACTTTGAGAGACACAAACTTCACACCTCTATTGCATCAGATACTCCGGGAAGTGATGCGATATCACCACCAATAACTTTTAGAGTGAAATCCAAATTTCTCTGCATATGCAAATAATAATATCAATATTTTTTTACATCGGGCTCTGGTAATAAAATGGACATTCTTGAAATGAATGCTAGGAAATGTCAAAAAGAACATTGGAACTCACCTTTTCCCTTAAGGAGAAACAAATAGCTCCAAAGCAAGGAAAATCATCAACAAGTGGTTTGAATATTATTCTAAAAAGACCCGTAAATCCAATGTTTTTTACCTACATGTAAGCAACCAGAGAAAAATGAGGAACATTTACGATAAAAAAAACAATTTTTAGCAACTAATGTTTGGCAAATATAAGGTGTTCCATTTAAAGGCAAGGAAAAAGGAGCTTGTTTGGTACATCACCCAATTTTTATACGGAGTAGTTTATAAGTCGAGCATTTTACCAAACACAGACTTCTTTAGCTCTCTAAGATGATTCGACTGACAAAAAGCATTACACAAGTTATTTCGAATCCAGCTCCTCTCCATTTTTTTTATCAATTTCCCCTCCATTTCCTTTTTTCTTCCTATCTATCACTACCCTTTTCTCTATCTTACTCATCAACATACCCCACATAATTTCCCTCCTCTCTATCTTACTATCTCTCTCCAACTGGAGAGGATCCAAACTCAGTTATTTCTTGAATGCAATACCTCGAATAAAGATGAATAATAAATTTACCCTTGTTTTAGACATTGTTTCGTTCGATTTATTAAAAAGTACATAATTCAACAATTTACAACATCTGTCATTTTAGCTATATGAGCAAGTTCATGACATCCAACTCTTCCAGTCAAATTTATCACCACCAAATGAGCTCTTTACACTGCTAAGCTACTAAGTTAAAGATAATGGTTTAGAATGTATCAGAAATTAGAATCATGTCCATAAAACATTTTGAAGAAAGACTTACTTGTATAGGCAGTGCAACGCCAAGTAAAGTCTTTATATCAAGCACAATATTGGGATTTCCATCCCATTGCATCTCCAGCTCCATAACGATTTCTTTAGGACCGCTTTCAACAATAGTAACACCTAAAGTGCAATGTACAAAGTATCGCCCATCAGATAGCATCAAACACCTTTGAAATTAATCTTTCCTTCTTTTTAGTTTTAAGTTACAAAATTTAGGCTACCAAACACTCAGAGTTTACCTGTGAACTGGGGAGCAACAGTACCTAATGTCAACTTTGAAAACTTCATAGCAGCTAAGATAGATGGCCGGTACTGCTCAAGAATTGGCTCAACTGAGTTCCTAATTACTTCTGATGCTGCCTACACTACCAAGTTGTCACAATAGCTCAAAATTTAGGCTATTTTTGGATACCAGAAAATACTATGGAAAAAAGAAAATGCTGCAGATTTTTTCTTACGTTTGGGTATACCTCTGAAATGCAAAGGAAAATGAAAGACGATTGATGTATTTAAATTTCTTACATGTATCTGATGCCTTAGCACTTACTCCTATATGATAGAAATAGATAAATAAAAGTGAACACAAACAAATATATTAATAGAAGTTTAATGAGTTTAACATAACATTTTATTTTTCTCGGCATTTTCTTTACTTCCAAGTTTCTAAAATACTCCATTACCTATTTTCTATCCCTATCATTTCCCGTGTTCCAGCGGAACCTAAATGTATTCGGGAGTGAAAACAGATACATATCCAAATTCTCAATGTCAAAAAATCCCTATCTCAGCCCTGTCTAGGCGTTGGATCTCTGTTGACTGCTCCAATTCTTAATGTTATGTCCCTAGCTAAACCAGACTAGACGTTAGGTCACTCCCTAGAGGTTGTCTGAGCTCTTTAGCAGATGCTACTTATAAATATGACATCACAATTACCTGATCAACATATGGCCATAGTTTCTCAAGAACGCGATTGAGCCAATTTAGCTGCAATTTGACAAAACAAAAGCTTTTAGGTAAATCAATAATTTCACAACTGGTTATATAAATTAATTAAGCATGTATATAAAAGCAAATAAAGGCAATTAATGGGCAAACGAATCCGCTAACTGTATAAATACCCTTCACTTAAAATAAAAAATTAATACGTTCATGCATAAATACTTTTTTTTATAACTTACTTTTTGCCTATGTGAAAAGACAACCCAGGAAGGGTATGCTTCAGCTGGAAGGATTTTCCTTGAATCTTGAACTGTCATTCTGGCAAATGCAGCAACGGTTGTGGCCTAACAGAGATTAAACAAAGTTTTAAAAATTATTTCAAATATTTATTAACTATAAATATTTCTGGCAAGTGCACTGATCGATATTTCAGATTAAACATAATAATTATCTATAATCACGATCAAAAAATAAAACCACTACCCAACCATGTGTGTGTATATGCATGAGGAAATTAAGACGTTTCATTGATTCAATTATGTAACATTATCATGCGGGAGATGAAATGGAGAATGAATTACCAAATCTATTCTTTTAAGGGATCTGATTGTCTGATATCTTGCAAAACAAACTATGATTCCGAAGCCCAATGCAGCTCCAAAGAAAATACCAAGAAAGAATCCCATCCTTCAATTTCATAGATTTTGAAATAACGTAAAACAATTAACCCAGAAAAAAAACAAAAGAAGAAGAAGAGGAAACAGATTGAGGCTCCTCTTCTGCTGATCAAAATGACATCGAATGAAGCTTTTGATTGGAGTTGCTATGGGGATCGGGCGAGTTAAATGCAAATTACCAAAATTAGATCTTAAACAATGCAAATTTTAAAACATTAAAACTTGGTAGTTTTCCAAAAAAACTTGGTAAGAAAAACAATATCTTCACATTAAAATTAGTTTATCAATTATTTATAGAGTACTCATTCTTTTTAAATTAGAGGGTGAATAAGAATTTTGAAATTTTAAACAAAAAATGTGACTACTAATTTAAGAATTCTAATTTTGTTAATTTTTCAACTAATGGAGAATTATATATAGTTGTGCACTTGTTGTGCATCATCGGCAAATGTAAAAAGTTGACCGCTACACTTATTTAAAAACGAAGGAAATAGTAAAAATCTAGGATATATAGCCTAAAAAATAAGCTACATTAAATTAATAACCTCTATTATTTTTAATGAAGTGTATGACACTTTAATGACTAATATATAAAATGTGATGAAGTCCAATACTATATCCAATCGTACTTGATAATAAAATATGTGTTGAACTAACATCAAATTCTATGAATTTCAATGTTATTGTTGGACATACATAGCTCATAAGTTCATAGAAAAATAAAAAGAGCCATATACTTTATATTATAATATAAAGATGTAACATTAACCTCAATTTTGTTTAATTCACATAAAATGGCAAATTAAAACGCCGTTTTTAAAAAAAGTCAAAAAATCGCTGATGTCAAACAACCCTTATGATTTTATCTTAATTGGCACACTTGTATTTTAACTTTAAAAACTAAAAACGCCGTTTTTAGCTCATATCAAACAACCCTTATGATTTTATCTTAATCGGCACACTTGTATTTTAACTTTAAATTATATTTTTTTAATCGTTTGCATATGTTTTAGCTTTTATAATTTGTAGTTTTTACTTCTCGTTTTGTGTATTTCTTACTTTTTTTATTTTTTAAATACTTATTTTTACATTCGTTCAATAAAAATACCTATTTTTACAGTGCATCTTTACTTTCGAACTAACTCTAGTTTTTACGTTAAAAAAATAACTCTAGTCTTTATATTTACTAGTGTGTGCCCGTACAACGCGCAGTAAGAGTTGTCGTGGTTAAATTTATCTCATCAGAAAAATAAAAAATGAAAACTAAAATTCAAAGAAAAAGAAAGGAAAAATACACAAAATAGACAAACGACCACACATCACTTATTTTAGTTTGTGTTACCATGGTCTACGTTACAGAGTCATTCTTGAACAGTTCAAATCAATTTTACATAACAATACCCATCAATTAAAGGGGTCCCAATTTTAAAAAATTTATTAGTATTATATAGTGATATTATATAATTATACAATGCAGACCCTCCGGTATTTATTTGTCGGTCTTTTGGTCTTTTTTACTCAAATTGGTTGAATAATGAGTTGTGTTGCTATAATTTAAGTATTGAGTAATTTGTAGAAAATTTTAATTGCACTCGTTAATGAGTATTCAATAAATTTGAGTATAGGTATTTAGATTGTGAATATTTTTAGTTTTTTATGTTAATGCAGGTTATATTTATGCTAATATCACTATTATTTTATTTATGTATTTATATATCCAACATTATTTAATGCATTAAAATAACAACTTATTTTCATTATAATTAAATATGTCCCCATGATCTCATTCTTGTCTTAAGTGCAATTTAGGTTAGTATTTACTTTGATTTGTTTAAAGATTATTAATGCGTTACGATTTTTTTTGTATAGTTAAGTGCATGCATGAATGTATCATGTGGATTCCACTATGCACCCTAGCATGCTCAATTTACCCTTTTTAGGTAGTTATTATGAGCTTTTTATGTGGTCACCATAAACAAAATAAATCAATGTAGTGTTTTTTTTGCAAAAGAAGTATCTAAATTTCATTAATTAAATCATTGTTAAGAACATGAGAAATAAAAAGCGGGTACTCAAACAACCAAGATCGAATCTCAGACATAGAACAAGCAGCCCTAGCAAACGTATGAACTGTCTTATTCACTGAGCGCCTAATATGAGAGAAAGTGATGCTAGAAAAATTCTTTGCTATATCTCTTATATCATCGGCTACCACACCATATGAAGAGCAGATGTCTCCCTTCAAAATCTTCGAAATAGCGCAAGCTGCATCTGATTCCACATCAACCGTCCTCCAAGCCATCCTTTGCAACCAGCTCAGAGCCTCTCTAATACCAATTAATTCCGCTTCCATAGGGGAAAGCCGCCCCAACCAAGGTTTCGCCGCCCCAGCCACAAAGCTACCGTCGTCATTTCGCAAGCACCATCCAAATCCACATTTATCGGCCCTCACAGCAGCATCAATATATATTCAGTTTGAACCTTCCTGATGCTGGTCTTCTCCACGAAGGAGCTGACAGATTACTGTCCTCCCTCCTATCCCTGCGTATGCAGTGTTGTTTAATACTATGAGATCGTTACACTTTAATTTGTCTCTCCCCACAAGGCATCAACATCTTTTTTCTAGGCTCATATCCTTCCGTAAATTATACCGTGAGATCGTTATACTTTGTTTGTGCTTAATGTGTTGAACTCATTGGGTTGTAGTTTTATACTCTTCTATCTCATTGGACTTACTTTTTTTTGTTTGTCCCAAAAACTTTGTCGCTTTCTTTTTAAGTAATGAGTTTGTGATTTTCCTTATTTCTCCCTCACATGCACAAATCTCAATGATACAATTTTTACTTTTCTTGTTTCACACCGAAATCAAAGTAGGCAATGTCTAACGGGGTGGAGAGAGTATTAAAAAAACTGCAAACACTCAACTGAAATATTTAATATTTAGTCAATTTTTACAATTATTATTGTGCCAGTAATATATACTAGGGAATACAGTCAACATATACTAACAAGGAGAAGCAAAGGCCGGTCAAATAGAGTTTTAATTCTATGCTTATCCCGAAGAACACAAATACGAATTGCCGCACAAACTGGTGCTAATAGTTAATATAAATTAGGAATCCTTGTGTATTTTGGCAACTCTTATTTTACTATAACTATACCTGCCAGGACTCCTATTGAAGTACGGTTTTCCCAATTATCTCACATGGTATCAAGAGCCTTAACCTAATTTTTTTCTCTCTCCGAAAATTCCGTGCCGCCATGAGCACTTCGCCCTACTCCAGCGCCGCAGCCATGGTTTCTTCGGCCATGGGCTCGGCTGCCGCTGCTGCCGCTTCTTCCCAGGTGCCGGCGCACACAACAATCTCTCCTCAGACGGCACAGCCAGGCTTCTCCACACCTCCGGCCGTCACAGCTGCCATCTCGAGCGCAACCGGATCCCCGGTGATGACGCCGACATCTTCAACGCTTTTTACCAATTTTCCTCCACCTCCAAATTTCTCTATGCCTGCGCCTATTCATCAATTTCAGTCGTTCCCATCGCAGCATACATGGCCTACACCAGCCCCTATCCAGCCGCCAGATCATAATCCACCGCCTCCAACGGTTTTGCAGCCGGCAGTGACGTCCTTCTTCGGCCCTACTTTCTCCGGGTCACCCGGAGTTCTTCGGCCGCCTGATCAACCGGGATTTGGCTCCCCGATGTCTTCCCTTGCTCAGTCTGTTTCCCATATTACCACGGTCTCTCAAATCATCACCATTAAACTGAAGGCAGTCGAGGATTATCTCACCTGGCGTACACAGTTTGAATCCTTCTTGGTTTCTCAAGGCCTCCTTGGGATCGTGGATGGCTCTATTCAGGTACCCCCGATGTATACAGTTGATTTTCTTAATCGTCAAGTTCCAAACACAGAATATTATTATTGGCTTCGGGTAGATCAAACAATTCGTTGTTGGTTGTTTGCTACTTTAACTCGGGATGTGTTAGTTGATGTTCATGACCTCAAACATTCAGCTGCTATCTGGGCTAGACTTCAGACTGGCTTTATGTCTGCTAGTCTACCCAGGTGCATGGAACTTAAACGATTATTATCTAATATAAAGAAGAAAGAGAGCCAATCCATGGAATTCTATTTAAGGGAAATTAAAACTGTTGTTGATGCCCTTGCGGCAATTAATTCTCCTGTGTCGGATAAAAAGATGCTTCAAGCTATTTTGGCTGGTTTGGGTCCTGAGTACCGGTCCTTTGTCACTAGTGTCTCTTTATTCCCCGACCAATTTCCCTATGATATTCTACAACCTCGACTTTTGGAGGAGGAGCAACGGGTCTTGTCTGAACACCAACAACAACCAGCCACTGGACATCAAGCCTTCGCGGTTGCTGCGGCAGGAGGTCAGCCACCAGCTGGCTACGCCATTCGCGACAGAGGGGTCCGCGGTAGGGGACGCGGCAGGCAAGGTCGAGGACGTGGCAGGGGACCACCGTATGGGTATCAGCACCAGGCCTCACCGTTTTATGCTCCACAGCAGCCTGCACATGCTCCGCAACATGGATTCGGATCTGTCCAGCAGGGCTTCGGGCAGCAGGGGTTCGGTCATCCGCATGCTTCAACTCAGGGGGTGCCTAATTCTCAAGGGAACACTTCAGGTTCTGCAAGTAATTCTATTTTGTCAACTTTAAATATTAATCCCTATTTTACTTATGATACTCACACTAGCTCTGCAGGTTTTTCATCAGGTGAGGGAATTCTTGGTTCTGTTCCACCACGTGTTGTTTGTCAGCTTTGTTTTTCTGCAGGTCATTCTGCACTCCAGTGTCCCTCTCGTTATGCTCCACCGTCTGCACCAGCTCTGTTAACTTCCAATGGTGACTCCAACACTGCTTTATGGTACCCTGACTCTGGGGCTTCGGCTCACATGACTCCTACGAAAGGTATTTTAGTTAATAAATCTGTTTATACTGGACCACTTTCTGTTAGTGTAGCTAATGGTTCTAAGCTTCCCATTGCTAATATTGGAGATGTTCACTTACATTCTTCTAGTCGTCCCCTCACGTTAAAATCTGTTTTTCATGTGCCTCACATTAAATTCAATTTATTATCCATTCAGAAACTTTGTGCTGATAATGATTGTGCTGTAATTTTTGATAAAAATTCTTTTTTTGTTAAGGACAAAATCACGGGGACCATCCTTCTTCAAGCTCCTAGTCAAGGTCATCTATATCCAGTCAGCCTCAACCCTCAGTCACCGCTTGCTTTGACTTCTCTTGATTCGTCTAGCTCTCTTTGGCACCATAGATTAGGCCACTGTGGCAACTCTATTTTAAATACTTTACGTAGTCAACATCATATATCTAGTAACTTTAAGTTATCTCATGACTGTATTTCTTGTCGCTTAGGCAAATCTCAACGTTTACCCTTTACGGATGCTAGTCATAATTCTACAATGCCTTTACAATTAATTCATTCTGATGTTTGGCAATCTCCTATTTTATCTAATTTAGGTTTTAAATACTATGTCTGTTTTATTGATGACTTCTCTCGTTACACTTGACTGTATCCCATGCGCACAAAGGCTGAAGTTTTTCATCACTTTAAATCTTTTAAATCTTTAGTTGAAAATCTTTTTAACACTCAAATTAAAATTTTTCAAAGTGATGGAGGGGGTGAATTTGTTAATACTAATATGCAGCAATTTTTTGATACTCATGGAATTTATTTTCGCAAATCTTGTCCTATAATTATTCTTTGGAACGATCCATTATAGCACAATTCTTTGGCTCCGCCCCTGATTGTGACACTCTCAAGTAGGGTTTTATAGGGTTGAAATTCATCACAATACAAGAATATTAATATTTAACAAAAAATAAATACTCCGTAAATAAGTGTGAGCACATCCCAAATTTATTAAGATTTTTTTACAAGAATATCACTAAAATAAGTCATATTTACATAAATATGACTATTCATTACTACAATATGGTGTTGTGTTAACTTAAGCTCAAAACTTGAACATAAATTACTATGGTTTCATTACTACTCTAGTCATTAGTCATATTTTTGTAAATCATCTTTCTAAATATGACTATTCTTTGTTTTTTACAAGAATATTACTAAAATAAGTCATATTTACATAAATATGATCATTCATTACTACAATGTGTTGTTGTGGTAACTTAAATTCAAAACTTGAACATAAATTACTATGATTTCATTACTACTCTAGTCATTAGTCATAATTTTTGTAAATTATTTTGGTCATATTTATGTAATTATTTCTAATAAAAAACGGGGTTTTTACAAGAATATTACCAAAATAAAACATATTTACACAAATATGACTATTCATTACTACAATATGGTGTTGTGGTAACTTAAGCTCAAAACTTGAACATGAATTACTATGATTTCATTACTATTCTAATCAATAGTCATATTTTTGTAAATCCTCTTTATTTTAGTCATATTTATGTAATTATTTCATAAAAAACTTTCCGCTCTATTCTTTCTTAAAAAAAAAGCTTCGGCTCTTTCACACTTGAGTCTTAAATTATGCTTAGCTACAAATTATGGGTCTCGTTACAAACACATACGCACACTCGCGCTTCTATATTTCACTTCATAAGTTTGAGAGAAAATCTCTCCCCGCCCAAATAACCGTTTCAGGACAGTGAGTGGGAGGAAGGGAAGGCTATACACACAACTCCCATATGTATGTATATGTATACACAGACAGTGAAGATGAAGAAGACAATGGAAGGTGACGGTATATGTAAAGGTGGCGAGGGAAAACTCATACTCTCTGCATTTCTGTCCGTACTCTGTTTCCTCCTCGTTGGATCAGCAATCATCGTAGCCTCCATCAGAGTCTCCGCTCAGAAAGGGAGCTTCGCCTCACTCATACTGATAGCTCCAGACCAGTATACGCCGGAACGCAACATCAACAATTACTTCTCAGTCCCGATCCTGGAGTTGCAGACGAAGATGGACGGCGCAGGAAGCTCTCTGTATGATCCAGCTCGATCAGTTTCTGTCGTGGAGAATTTGATCAGCAGAAACGTTTCGAGACCTATTAAATCGCCTCCACGGAAACGAACAGCCAGCGTAAGTTAATCAATCGTCGTTGCTTGTGGCAGCTCGTTTGTAATCGTGAATGGCGGAGATTTTGAGTTTACAGATTTGTTGAATTTGAAATTGAGTGTTTACGTTGATACACATTGATAGTTAGACGGATTTTTGTATCCAATGTATATAGATTCAAATTTTACTCAACATCGGATTCTTCAATCTGTTGAAGTCATATGAATGAAATTAGTTTGATTCTAATTCTATGTATTGATTGAACTCAATTACAGAAACCGCAGAAGGCGGAGGAAGGACTGGCAAGAGCACGAGATGCGATCAGGAAAGCCGCTTCAACTCGGAACGTCTCCGGTACGACCGTCGCCGGCAGTATATACCGTAATCCCCAAGCATTTCACCGGTAAGTACACGAAAATTGACTTCGATAAAAAAGCGTTACTTTCTCTTTTACTGCACATTGAAATGTGAACTTGAATATTTGGTATTCATCATATTTAGTAGAATGCGTTAATTATTCATTATTAATAACTCAATAAGTGATAAACGTGGGAAGGGAAACGTTGAACGTTCAGCGGTATTAGGAATGGGAGCGAGCTTTTTGTTGCTTACTTGTATTGGGAACTACTTTCCTTCTACGTTACACACCAAAATTACAATAATTCTCGTTCGGTCGTTCCATATAATAATTATGATATAAATGTGATGAGTTGTAATTGTAGTAATTATTGTAGTTCATAATATACAGCTTATGTGTAAGAAAACAGGGGGTAACCAGAAGAAGTCTTGAATTGTAACTGAAGCATGATGTGTTTGCTTTTGCGCACATACTCGATGTTTTCATGGAAGAAACACACTCGATTGCATTGCCTTGAATAAGAAAAAAGCCGCGCTTCTTATTCGTTATACTGACTGACCAGATATGGCTTTCCTAAATTCTAAGGATGGCCGCGTAGTCTTTTAGCGAATGTAAGGAAAAAACAGAAAAAGGATGACACCCATTCCGGACAGCCTGGACCCCGACAGAACTGTAGGTCGAGAGGATGTATATTGAACTATAATCTCAATCTGACAGATAGAAAGTGAGGTTCTATCCCCGATACTGGCAAAGGTCCTATGCATTTTTAGCACAATAACTTCTCATCGCAGTTGAGATTCGAACCCGGGACCTAACCTTGTTTCGAATGATAGGAGCCGAATATCGGAATATGTGATCACATAATTCATCCATATGCATTTTTTCTATAAAAAATTCTCTCCGCTCATTCAAATGCTCATTCTAATAAATTTTAAAATAATAGGGGAGAAAATTCAAGAGACAAAATGAAAATATTACGAGAGAAATGATTTGTTTATAGTACGAGAGAATGATATAAATTTGAAAGTAGCCTCTACAAATGCCGGTTGAGACGAGTTAAAGTCGACCTTTTAACCTCTCCACAAATGTCGCTTTGCTGACTGATTTACTATGATTAACCTCTCCACCATCCTGTTGAGTCGGGGTGGAGGACCTTGGGGTTGGACATTCAACCTTTTGGACCAAAGGTCGACCTTTTAACCACTTGACCCTTAATGTTTAGGATTTTGACAGTGCATTTAACATTATGGAGAAACTTTTTATACTAACAAGATACGGAGTAATACTCTAATAGACCAACAAATATATTCCCTCTCGTTAACATATGACTAATTGACAATATTACGACAAGAATTGGGATTACGAAAAGAATATTAATAAAATATTTCTGAGAGAACAAAAAGAGACCTTTTTAAATTTTCAAAAAATGAGACTAAAAAGATTAGAAGGACCATTACACCCTTACTAAATCCAGCTGCTTCACTACAGTGACCAATGTCATAGTGGCTCCGTCCACACAATGACTAATGCATCAGTGATCAACGCCGTCGATCATAGTGATCATCGTTGGTCACAGTGATCACACTGGCCAGTGACCATCCAGATGCTGGTCACAGTGACCATTGTTGGTCAGTGATCACCACAGTCCGCTGATCTCCGTCACCACTAATGACCTATTTTTCCGTTAACTGTCGCTCCTCCTATCCACCCCAACTTTTTGACACTGCACGAACCCTCTACACCCTCCATCCCTGCCCATATCCTATTAGCCCACCTCCACCCCACCCCACCCCCACCCCCACCCCTAGACCCTAGCTCTCAATCCCTACACCACCGCTGCCCTCCAGCTCCCAAACCGCCACTGAATTGCCCCAACCTAATCCTTGGATCGTCGTTGCCCCGCCACCGTCAATTAGATATTATTATTTGACATTTGTCCTAGTCTGCTTATCTAATGCTACATTTGTACCATGATCGTCGTTGCTACAAATGCACGCTTTAACAACTTTTTCCTTTTTTTTTTTTAATTTTCTACACGAGTTTATATTTTTACATTTAATTTATGAAATTAAATTTCACTTATTGAGGTTTCCCCCTCAAATATTACTAATAAAAAGAATCATGGACAAAACCATTACTACGCACTTAGTACAGAGTAACTATTAGTGACTATAATTGTGTTCAAAGTTTACACTGTAATAACTTACATGTAATTACTACGATGTAAATTTGAACATAATTACAGTCACTAATAGCTACTAAATAATATTTTTATCCACTACATCTTAAAGAATAATATTAATGGAATTTTTTCTTTCATGTTACATTAATAATATTCAAACAAGAAAGTGTAATTAGCAAAAAAGAATGTAAAATGTATGTACTACTTACTACTACCTCCGTCTCAAATTGATTTACAAAGTTAATATTTTTTGGTAAACCAATGTTAAAACAAATCCCCCCTATTGATAATTTTTTCAATTTTAATAATTAAAATTTACATACTCATAAACTACATTAAAATTTCTATAAATTTGCAAAATCTAAATTAGAATATAATTAAAAATTGATATTCTAATTATGTAAAAAAGGAAACTATTTGACCAAAAAAAGTTGACTTTGCAACTCAATTTGGACGGATGAAGTATATATTGGGTGATGCTAACCGAGCTCGTATTAGTTTTTTTGTTTATTTATTTAAAATTACAAATACATGTGTGGTATTGCATGCGGTATTAGATTTTTTGATCAACTTTAAGAGTACTAGCTAATTTGTAGATTTTGAGATTGTTTTTACAATATTAGTTGTTTTATTTAAAGAAGTATGCAGAATTTTCACAAACTTTAACTTGTCCGGTATTGCTTTGTTCTTCCGTCCCAGAATTTCCACTCGTTCATAGGGAGAAGGTAAGAGCATGTTACCCGCACGGGTAGCTTAGTTGGTTCAGTGGTGGGAAATTTGGACCAAGTGACCAAGGTTCGAAACCCACAGCGGTCGTGTGGAGTTCACATAACCTGAAATAAGGCTGGACCTCTGGTGCGCACGGGAAAAAGGCCTACCATCATTGGGCCGACTGAGTCACCGTGATTAAGGTCCTCCCAAAAATCCTGTCGGGTCGGGGTATGGGGGGCTCCTGGGGTGGGAGATTCCACCTTTTTTTGGACCAAGGTAAGGGCATGTTTAATAAGAGCATCATCAATGCATATAGCCTAGTGTAGGCTAAAATGTACCGTGCGCATAGCTCAACTGATAGCAAGGGAGTGCCACAAGGGTTAGGTTCCGGGTTCGAATCCCGGCAACTGCGATGAGGGGTTACTATGCTAAAAATGCATAGGGCCTCTGCAAGTACCGCGTACAGAGCATCACTCTCTATCTGTCAGATTGGGATTATAGTCCAATTTACATCCTCCCAACGTACCGTCTGGTCGGGGTTGGGAGGCCCTCGGGGATGGAGCGTCATTTTTTTTGTAGTGTAGGCTAAAATGTGCCAAATGTCAAACAATAAAAGGATTTCTAATCTACATCACATAAAGTGTAGTAGCTACATATTGGACTACAAAAAAAACCTCCAGTGCACGTAGTCTTATCGCTGAATTAGTTGTCCAAGTGGAATGCATTATTACATTAATAAAACTGTTAAATGTCCCATACCGACCTTTTAGGATGGAACCCCGCGTCTTAACAAAAACTAATACGTAGTAATAAACTATACGATAATCAAACCCTTCCATCTTCTTTATCGAGAATAAAACAGGCCAGAGGATGCATATACAAATTTCATTTACAAGGACGACCTTCTTCACAATTATGCATATACAATCATTAAAAAATAAATCAACGCAAATATTATAAACTGATTGAAATTATTCTATTAAACCTGTTGGAAAACCGGACCGGCTCAGACCTCAATCACCACCAAGCCCAAAGGCTTGCTCACACTCACCACCAGGGATACAACCGGGGAAGACAGAAGGGCGACAGCCAACAAGCCCTCACACAAAGAACCCAGACCCCAGCCCAGAGAACCCACCGAAGCTACAGATAACCCACCACACTACCAGACCAGAGTGAAGCCCACAGAAGGATTTCAAAGGTCTCACCGGAGCAAAGCCGGAGCTAAAGCTCAGAGGAAACCGACACTCTCTCACTCTAGGTCTAGGGTAACCGAACTGAAGCGTCATTTTTAGAGAGAAGGCGGAGAGGCAGAAATAGGAGGATTCCAGAAGAACCAGCCAATATAAGGGAGGGCCACAAGGGATGGGCTGAGTTATAAGACAAAACGGGGGGATGGGCTTGGTCGGGTAGACAGCCCATTTGGGCCAGGACAATTAATAGGAGACCAACTCCATAAATGAGGTGGACCAAAAGGCAGCTCAGGGATGGCCCATAGATGAGGTGGACCAATACCACAACAATCTCCACCTTATTGGTCCCCCTGGTGGTGTAGAGCACAACGTGAAAGGGAGAATCATCATCGCCGGTTTTTCTTGTTTTACAGTTCTTATCTAGCCACAATCTAAATTAAGAATACGCTTACAAGACAACAGTTTTTCAAAAGTGAGACATTTAGTCCCCATATCTGCAGGGTTAAATTCTGAAGGTATCTTGGACAGCTTTATCCAACCTGCATCCACAATGTTCCTAATAAAATGAAATCTGACATCAATATGCTTGGTCCTGTCATGGAATACATGATTCTTGCATAATTGGATAGCAGACTGGCTATCAGAGTACACTGTCACAACCTGCTTAAGAAAACCAATTTCAGTTAGCATTCGTTTAAGCCAAATAGCCTCTTTAAAGGCCTCAGTGGCTGCCACGTATTCAGATTCAGTAGTGGACAGTGCAACAATAGGTTGAAGTTGAGATTTCCAACTTATGCAGGAACCACAAAGAGTAAAAATGTAGGAAGTAGTAGACTTTCTATTGTCCCTATCATTTGCATAATTGGAGTCAACATAGCCAGTAAGTAAGATGCCAGTTTCAGTTTTAGAGAACACAAGACCATGAGAAGGTGTACCCCTTAGGTATCTAAGAAGCCATTTAAGGGCAGTCCAGTGAGACGTACCAGGGTTTGCCATATATCTACTTAAGCAACTAACAGCATAAGCTATATCAGGCCTTGTGCTTACCATGAGATACATGACTGACCCTATAGCACTGGAATAGGGTACAGCCTTCATCCTATCTATCTCAGGAGCAGTCCTTGGGGACTGATCCTTGCTTAGCACAAAGTGGGGTGCTAAGGGAACATTCACAGGTTGGGCAGAGTCAATTTTAAACTTTTTCAAGACCTTTTCAAGATAGGGGGTTTGGTTCAGGGTAAGGGTACACCTACTCCTATCCCTAAGAATATTAATCCCTAGGATTCTCTTAGCATCTCCAAGATCTTTCATAGCAAAGTTTTCACAAATGCACTTTTGAACTATCTTAATAGCATTCACAGAGGGGCTAATGATAAGCATGTCATCAACATAGATTAACAAGAAAACAGGTACAGCAGCAGTATTCTTAAAATACAAGCAAGGGTCAGAATCAGACCTTTTGAAACTCAGGGAAGACATACACTGGTCAAACTTGATATTCCATTGTCTGGGAGACTGTTTCAGTCCATAGAGGGCCTTCCTAAGTAGACAGACATGTCTGGGGTACTTAGGGTCAATAAAACCCTCAGGTTGGCTCATGAAAATCTGTTTATCTAGTTCACCATGCAGGAAAGCAGTGGTAACATCCATCTGCTTCATCTCCCAGTCATTATGGGCAACTAGGGCAAGCATCATCCTAATTGTTGTGAATTTTACTACTGGAGCAAAAATTTCAGCATAGTCTACCCCTTCCTTTTGAGTGAAACCTTTTGCCACTAACCTAGCTTTAAACCTAATGTCATTTGGTTCTTCTTTAACTTTGAAAAGCCATTTGCACTCAACAACAGAACAATTAGGAGTCCTAGGAACTAGGGTCCAGGTTTTATTCAACTTAAGAGATTCTATCTCACTTTGCATAGCACATAGCCAATTTTTAGATTCTCTAGAGGCAAGGGCTTCCTGGTAGGTTTTTGGCTCATTCAACTCAAGAGTTTCAAACACAGGGAAAGCAAATAATGAAGTATCATACAGGTGAAAAGCATAGTCAGTCATACTATCAGAAATCCTTTTAATGTTTCTTCTAGTCCTATCTCTGGCTAACACATAATCATCTAGACTCTCATTCTCAACTTGGATTTCTCCAAGTTCTTCATTATCAGCAAAATCATATTGAACAATCACATCATGCAAATTTTCATCATTACCACTGGGCTGCTCCACCTCACTAAAGGTGGAGTGGGTGTCATGCATAGTGTTGGTCAAATCAGGAGTACTGGACTCATTCACTAGAGGGGCAGCAGTGGTCTGGATAGGCTCCACCTCACTAGGAGAGGTGCCATCATGCACAGTTTGAGGGTCAGTCACATTTTGAACTAAGCAGGGAAAGTCACTTTCATTGAACACAACATTTCTGCTTATAATGACCTTAAAACCACTCTGGTTCCTATCCCAGATCCTATATCCTTTAACGCCTTCAGGATATCCTAAGAAAATGCATTTCTTAGACCTAGGGTCCAACTTATCAGACTGTTGATGTACATAGGCAGCACACCCAAACACTCTTAAGTTTGACAAGTCCAGGGGTTTCTTAGAGAAGACAGACTCAGGACACTTACCTTCTAAAGGTACAGAGGGGGATCTGTTTATGAGGTAGGTGGCAGTATTGACAGCTTCTCCCCAAAACTTCTTGGGGAGGCCAGAAGTGGCAAGCATACTCCTAACTTTGTCTAGGAGGGTCCTGTTCATTCTCTCAGCTAAGCCATTCTGTTGGGGAGTATAGGGCACAGTCTTGTGTCTCCTAATCCCACTCTCAACACACAACCTATCCATATCCTTATTGCAGAATTCTAAGCCATTGTCAGTTCTAAGAGTTTTAACCTTACATCCAGTTTGATTTTCTACCATAATTTTCCATTCTTTAAACCTATCATACACATCAGATTTATGTTCTAACAAACAGACCCAGACTTTCCTAGAAAAGTCATCAATTATGGACAGAAAATACCTCCTACCCCCATGGGTAGGGACACTGGAAGGACCCCATACATCTGCATGTATGTAGTCAAGGACAGCTTTAGACTTAGGCTCACTAGAATGGCTAGAAACAGGAAACTGAACCCTATGTTGTTTACCTAGGACACAACCCTCACAGAAAGGTATGGGTGACACCAAGTCATTACCAAAACATCCAGTTTGTTTCAAAATATTCAATCCTCTATTACTCATGTGACCCAGTCTTTGGTGCCAAAGCACAGACTTGTCACTGAGTACAGCATTAGCATTTTCAGCAAAAGGTTTGGCATGCACAACATAAAGGTTATTTTGTTTCAAGGCTTTAAACAAAACAAGGGAGTTTTTCAAAATCTTCATACACCCATTTCCCCATTTACCCTCAAGACCACATTCTTCAAAAACAGAAACAGAAAGCAGATTGTGCCTAAGGTCAGGGACATGTCTAACATTTTTTAATTTGAAAACAGTTCCATTTTCAAACTTAAGACTTATGTCACCCACACCATGGACCTTACACTTCTTATTGTCAGCTAGGGACACATAACCAGAATCACAAGCACTATAAGAAGCAAACAGATTTTTAAAAGGAGTCATGTGGTAGGTACACCCTGAATCTATTAACCATTCAAATTCAGTTAAGTTGCTTAGGGCAGAATTAGCATGATCACAGATCATGAACACTTCTTCACTAATTTCCTTATCAGTCACAGAGTTGGCCTGTTCATTTCTTTTGGGTTGGGGACAGTCCTTTATGAAATGATCTGGGTTCCCACAGTTATAGCACACCCTTTTCCTAGACTTATGCCTTTTCTTGCTAGGTTGTCTACCATTCTTATCCTGATTGTCCTTTTTAGGATTTTTAGACCTACTTTTAGATCTTCCCCTAACAAACAAAGCTTCCCCAGATTCCTTATGATGGTTCCTAGAATGTTTTAAGTCAAGTTCTTTACTTCTCAGGCCATTAATAACAATATCAAGGGTTATGTCATCCCTCCCATATTTTATGGCAGACTTAACATCATTATAGGAATCAGGTATAGCATTTAATAAGACTATGGCAGTGTAGTCATCTATATGTTTATCCCCAGCCTGCTTAATGTTTTGGATTAGTTTGTTAAAAATATCCAGATTTTCATCAATATCTTTTGATAGGTCAAGCCTAAACCTAAAAAACTTTTCCAACAAAAACAGTTTGCCAGGAAGGGAAGTATCAGTATATAGAGACTCAAGTTCATCCCAGAGGTCTTTAGCAGACTCAATGACTCCAACCTTTCTAAGGACAGAGTCAGACAAGTTTAAATATATGGTTGAGCAGGCTATTTCATTCATTTCAACTTGTTTGGGTTTTTCCTCAGTTTCTAAGTATTGCCCAGTAATTGCTCTATGAACTTTCTGTTGTATTAACACACATTTTATCTTTTGTTTCCAAATGTCAAAATCAGTCTTACCATTAAAAGGCATCATACCATACTGGTTTGAAGCCATGATAACAGTTACAACACAACAACAGAGATACAGGTAATAAGGGGGCTTAACCCTGATGGTTTGGGCTGCGGACTAAGTGACCACACAGTTCCGAGGCCACTGAAGTGGCTGGCAGGGAATCACTTAGCCCTAACCTCAAGTGCCCTAGCCAATCAGGGGTTAGGAAGCCACACAAATTACCATAACTCAACACACAGAAGCGGAAGCAAAGTTGAAAAGACTGACAGAGCAGAGGGAAAGACACAAAGAAAAATATAATACAGCAGAAAAAAATGAGTAGGGCACGATACAGTAGGTTCAGAGGTTATCACACAGAGGATAAAATCAACACAGGCAAGTTCACATATATTAGTGGCCAAGTTCGACACAGATTGGTCCACTCATGCACGGTATCACCAACCTAGGGTTTCTGCAGGTCTTATCTGAATAAGATCTACACATGCAACGGTTCAGAAACTAGGGATTCTAACTGGTAGTTCCTCCACCTAGGGTTTCGGAATACCCATGCATCACAGAAGCCGGTGGCACTCCGGCAGCCCAAGAGTTAGGGTTTGAGTTTATACCTGAGCGGGTGTCACGGAGAGACAATCCGACTTACCTTCTCCGATGGCGCCTTCAGACGTTACCGGTGTGGGAGTTCTCCGGTGAGCTTCCGGTGTCCGAGAGAGGCAGCAACGTCCAAGCTCTGATACCACTGTTGGAAAACCGGACCGGCTCAGACCTCAATCACCACCAAGCCCAAAGGCTTGCTCACACTCACCACCAGGGATACAACCGGGGAAGACAGAAGGGCGACAGCCAACAAGCCCTCACACAAAGAACCCAGACCCCAGCCCAGAGAACCCACCGGAGCTACAGATAACCCACCACACTACCAGACCAGAGTGAAGCCCACAGAAGGATTTCAAAGGTCTCACCGGAGCAAAGCCGGAGCTAAAGCTCAGAGGAAACCGGCACTCTCTCACTCTAGGTCTAGGGTAACCGAACTGAAGCGTCATTTTTAGAGAGAAGGCGGAGAGGCAGAAATAGGAGGATTCCAGAAGAACCAGCCAATATAAGGGAGGGCCACAAGGGATGGGCTGAGTTATAAGACAAAACGGGGGGATGAGCTTGGTCGGGTAGACAGCCCATTTGGGCCAGGACAATTAATAGGAGACCAACTCCATAAATGAGGTGGACCAAAAGGCAGCTCAGGGATGGCCCATAGATGAGGTGGACCAATACCACAACAAAACCTAATTCCAAAATACACAATAGCAACAACTTGAAGAAGAAACATTGTGACCGGGTCCCCGGCTACGAGCATTGGTTACTCAGAATGCGTTTCATTCTCTGCTTTGTCGGAGCGGCCGTCGTGCCTGGTGGCCTGAGGGGGAGCTCTGCACCGCACTGTGCCAGGATGAGATCCCCACCGAGAGTGATTCGTGGGTCCCCAAATTCACTCCTATATATGGCCGGCCGATGTCGACTTCCTATCCTCCGGCGGTTGCTTCCAAAAGGTCGACAATTCTATGGTAATCTCCAAACGGGAGCGGCCCTGCCGAAGTCGCACATCCTCATCTTCCACGGAAGTGGAACAGTAATGAAGAGGCAAAGGTTTTTTTCAGATCCAATTTGTCCAAGTCAGCGTGTTAACGAGGCTTTCTATACTCACACGGCCCCCTTCACACTGTTCAAGTTTTTTTTTGCCAACTCATCATAAGATTACATGCATTGGAAGCCAATTTTAATACACAATGTCTGAACTGATGACTTGGCACAATATATTTGCACTAGACAGCCTAGCATTGCGGTTGCTCTAACAGAGATATTTTTCTGTTTTCTACTTCTGTTTTTCGATTTTCCAATTTTCTATTTTTATTTTTCAGTTTTTCTATCACCAATTTTCTGTTTCTATTTTCTAGTTTTCCATTTTCAAATCTGAAAACATGTTCATCAATTTTTTCACGCAGTTCTGTGCTCACCCTGAAGACTGACACATTTACTTCACAGGTTACTAAATTATGCTTATTAAGACTCGCGTTAATAAGCGACGCATAAAATAAGCAATGTTATAAGATCATGTTTACTTCAAAAGGTTTAAAACACCGTTTAACATTAAAATGTCCAAAAAAACCCTATATAAATATATAGACACACAAACATTAATGAAAACAAATATATAATATAATATGTGAGATCGATCACCTCGTACGTGTACCCATACTCCTAACCCCTACCCTGCCCCTATACCTCATACCCTCATCGTACACCCTACACCCAATTCCACACCCTTGACCCCTACCCCTACCCTTACCACGATCTTACACTCTACCCATACTCCCCTAAAACCCTTCATACCCACCCATACCTACTCGTAGGGGTCGGGGTAGGGAGGAAGTTACGAGTGGGGGTGGGGTATGTTGTAAAGTGTAGGGGTACGAGGTTGGGTGGGGTAGTGGGTGGGTTAGGGTGGTGGTTAGGGGTAAGGGTGGGGGTAGTGAGTAGGGTAGGGTAGGGAGTTGGGATAGGATGGCGGTAGGGTGGGGCTGAGGTAGGGGAAGGGGTTGGGTGGCCTGGGGGTAGGTGGGGGTAGGATGACAGTAGGGTGGGGGTAGGATGGCGGTACGAGGGTGGGGGTAGGATGGCGGTAGAGTGGGGCCGAGGTAGGGGCATGTGGGAAGGGGTAAGTTAGGGGGTAAGGGGTAATATACGAGGTGGGGGTAGGGTAGGGTGGTCGGGGTGGGGTTGAGGTGGTAGGGGGGTGGCGGTAGGGTAGGGTTGATCGGGGTGGGACCGAGGTAGGGGCATGTGGTAGGGGGTGGGGGTAGGGTCATTGTAGGGAAAATGGGTATGTGGGTTGGGGGTTGGGTGGGTAGGGTAGGGTAGGGGTAAGGGGTAAGGTACGAGGATGGAGGTACTAGAATGGAATCGACATCCGGCCGGGATCGAACCCACCACTAGGTGTAAGTATGCAAATTCATTACAGCGGCTTGTAGCATCTGCGTTTTCCAAATTTAGAAAACTAGTAAAAGCCATTCTTCAAATCATTAAGAAAAAGAGACATGTCTCATTTTTTCATTTTGGAAAACGGTTTGGTAAACTCGTTTTTTTGTTTTCCTTTCTCTAGTTTTCCAGCAATTTTCCTGGGTAAACACGTTTCCTGTTTTCCAGTTTTCTGGAAAATTAGAAAATACCTCTATGAGTAAACATGCCCTAAATACTTTAAAACGAAAAATGACAGAATCTTTAGGACATTTCCACAAGAGAAGTTTAGAAAAATAGTGATAATGCGGGAGTAGCTTGTTTCATTTTAGGGAAAACTGTCAAATAGGTTCTCGAACTTTTATAAAAAAATCAATTAAGTCCTTCTATAGTAGACTCTGTCTGGTCATCGCAATTTAGGGCGGTTCCCGGTGTAATTTTTTGATGAATTTTTTTGAGAATCTTATTCATCAAGTGTAGTTTACTCATACCAAATTTCAGCTAAAAATTTAATCCGAAGTGCATTCAAATTAATTCGAGAACGCAAAAATACGCGCTTATCTTCACGAATTAATTTGAATGTGTTCCCGATTATATTTTTATCTGAAATTTGGTATGAGTAAACTAGACTTGATGAAAAAGATGCTTAAAAAATTTCATCAAAAAATTCCACCAAGAACTGCCTCAAATCGCGACGGTCGTACATAACCTCCTATAGAGGGACTTAATTGATCCTTTTATGAAAGTTCGAGGACCTATTTGACAGTTTTCCCTTCATTTTACGTTTGAACTAAAATTCCTCGATCGTACTAACGAGTACAACCACAACGCATTTTGGATTTTTACTCAGGAGCGAATTTGAGTATTAAAGTTACTCGCAACTATAATCTCTCCTTTTACGCTTTTTTAGGAACAAATACTAATGAGGCCCATTGGTAACTTAGTAAAATTAGAACTACGTCCTTACAAAATGAATCGGCTTAAATATGGCTAAGTTTGACCCATAGTTCCTTCAAAAATGGATATGGACCACACAACTACTTCATGTTTTGTAGCGTGTCAATTTCGTTCGTCTCAAAATCATAGTATGAGTGCAATATAGTTACTGTTATGTTTAATGGATGAATCAAATTGATCGATGCATATCTCTGCATTTTTCATATATATGATGTATAGGAGCTACCTGGAGATGGAGAGGAGGTTCAAGGTATTTGTATACAAAGAAGGGGATTTGCCGATAGTCCATGACGGGCCGTGCAAGAATATATATGCGAGTGAGGGAAGATTTATTAGTGAGATGGAGCACGGGAGGAACAAGTTCAAGACGAGAGATCCATATTCAGCGCACGTCTACTTCATGCCTTTCAGTGTGACTTGGATGGTCAAATACCTTTACAAGCCTTTCACTTATGATGTCTCACCTCTTCAGCAATTCGTGTCAGATTACGTTAGGGTCATCTCCACCAAGCACCCTTTCTGGAATCGAAGTCAGGGTGCTGATCACTTCATGCTCTCCTGCCATGATTGGGTACGTGCGTAAGTAGCATTCACTCCATCTTACTCTATGGAGTATTATTTAGTTCATGCTTCTATATATGTCATATTTTGACTAAATTCATTTTTTATTTTTAGTTGATCTCCTTTAAATCCTTAATTTAAATAACAGGCCGGGCCGTATAGGTCCAACTATATAAAAGTCTAATCTAGTAGATAGAAATGATATTTGAACAGTACAATATATAAATGACATCTGATAAGCGTGTGTAGGCCGCTGTCTAGATCCAATAGTCGTGGGAAGATCCGGAAGTCCAAGTCTATATACTCTATCAAAAATATATATATTCCCTTAGTTCCAATATAAAATTTCCACTTTCATATTGGAGTCAAAATTAGTCAACCTTGACAGTAAGTTATACGGAGTATAACATGAATTTAAATTGCTCTTAAAGAAATTCTGTTGACATATACATATACTCTTGAAAAAATAATTAGTTACAGATTCTAATATAATCTGAGAATTATAAATAGTAATAGTCAAACATCAACATTGAAAATAATGAAAAATTAAAATGATATCTTTATTTTGGGTAGAGTTAGTACAAAATTATTACTTGCATCAATTTTTTTAAATGTGAATTGAATGGAACATGTGAATAAAGAATTATGATGTGTGTAAGGAGATGGATATATAGAAGGAGGAGGTTAGAAAATAATAAAATTATCTGAAATTTATTCCAAGTACCTAAATGAGTGGAATGAGATAATTTGAATGTAAAAATGAAAATGATTAACTTGGTTGATTCTCTCCAAAAGGTTTCATTGCTGGCTCTTTCATCGAGTAAATGGTTGAGAATGATAGGTGACCTCCATGTATGTGCCTAATCAGATGAGAAAAATTAATTTTTCAGGGTCCACATGCATCAAAAGGCAATGCAAATGTCTACAACAACTCTATCAGGGTCTTATGCAATGCCAATTCCTCCGAAGGGTTCAACCCACAAAAAGACGTCAGCCTGCCAGAGATCCATCTTTATACTGGAAATATATCACCCAAACTCCACCCTCTACCTGCAGACTCCAATCATAACATCCAAAGGCCCCACCTAGCCTTCTTTGCGGGAGGCCTCCACGGCCCCATACGCCCAATCCTCCTCCACTATTGGAAAAATCACACTGACCCGGAAATACAAGTCTATGAATACCTACCCAAACACCTAGACTACTACACCTTGATGTTACAATCAAAGTTCTGTTTGTGTCCGAGTGGGCACGAAGTGGCCAGCCCAAGAGTAGTGGAGGCCATTTACGCTGAATGTATCCCCGTCATACTCTCACGTAACTATGTTCTTCCCTTCAGCGATGTGCTTAACTGGGATGCTTTCTCTCTACATGTTGAGGTTTCAGAGATCCCCAGGCTGAAGGAGATATTGTTGGGTGTATCAGAAAGGGAGTATTTGAGGCTTAAAGAAGCAGTTAAAGCTGTGAGGGTGCATTTCGTGTTTAACAAGCCTGCTCAGAGGTATGATGTGTTTCATATGATATTACATTCTGTTTGGTTGAGGAGGCTCAATCTTAAACTTGAAAGATGATCCAAGCATGTTTTAATTTGTTTTAAAAAATGTAGAAAGTTATACAGAGTGTACTCAATTGGCCACTCTACAAGGATACATACATTCGATTATCCACTTTAGAAGGATACATAAAAGCTTTGAGTAATTTGAGATTGTGATTTGTGGCCTCGATAAAAAAGTACTTGCTAACATACGCTTCCAAGTTCCAAACCACACACGCTACCCCAATGTCCCATTAACTCCTCCTTTGGTTGGTACTATTTCCAGAAATGAAAATTGTGTGAATTTTTTATTTGCAAAAAGGAAAGATAAATTTCAGTTAGATAAAGAAGGATGAAAATAAAAACAAGATACATGGTGTTATATGATTTGTTTTATGTTTGATCAAAGTACACTAAAAATATAAGCATATTGAGTGAGGAATACTATCTAGACCTTTATATTGGAAAATAAAATATGTTTGCTCATTTGAAATACTACTTTATAACTTAGAATAAAATTTAACGAATGAAATAAATAAAAATTATAAAGTATTTATTGTACTTGTAAACATACAAATACAAACTCTCATGAACTATGTCTTCACCGATGTCCTATATAAGCACTTCACTCGAGAGATTATCATACAAAAAGAGCATCACAACCTCTTTTCAGACTTTTATACGGGCGCCACTATATGGGAAACATGAAATAATTTGACAAACACATGTCAACAATGCAGAAGAATGACCATATGACCATTCTAACTTTATACATGATGGAAGTGTAAGGTCATAAATATGAGTGCAAATATGCAAAAACAATAATAAAAGAAAAAAGAGTAGTTAGAGTGGTTATTTTCGCACCCCATTAAAAAAATGATATTTTAATTCAACACATCATGGAACCATGTGATACCTTAATACAAAGCAGGCGCTTTTAACCATATATTGACACACAGTTGGGATGTGTTTGGGAGAGAATGTAAACACATCATGTGTGGTATATAGATCTACAGTAGGACTAAGTTGGTCCTAGTGCATGCCTGTTTTTAAAAAACAAAACAACTTTTTATTTCCATGTAACCCGTTCAATATTTCCTTCAATCAATCTAATGACTCCTAAGCCCACCCAACACAATTTTTTAGGTCCACCCTATGGTATAAGAGAGTGTTCAAATTGTAGAATTCCAGCTCCCAGCAAGCCCACTCCATCCTCCATACCATGGGATGGTCTTCCATCTCCTGCCCACTGAAGAGAAGCATGGAGAGGCATGGAGAGGAGGCATGGGTTGTAGAATGGGTTGTAGCATGGGTACCAATGAATATGTCTCCAACCTTGCCTATAAATAGAATACTCTTCCATTGTTCACATGCATCAAAAATCAGAGAGAAAAGTAGTGAGAGTGATACACATATAGTGAGTGTATGAAAGAGTTGGTTTTTGTAATAGTTGAGTGAGAGAGTTGCTCCTCCTATTGTAATTCTGTTCTGGTTATGAATAGAAGAATTTTCCAATCCTAACAAGTGGTATCAGAGACAGTTTAGTCCAGAAATCCAGATTTCACCATTTTATTCGAATTTTTGGTCAAAAAAATTTTGTTCCAGAATCTTGTTTTGAGGTTACCATTAGAAAGCTCTCGTTTTGAGGATTCCAAAAATATATTTTTCGGAATTGTTTGAGCACCGGAAGGCCTCCAAACGTCCGGTCAAAGTTTCTCTCTCCTGCCAGTCAAGCCACTGCAGTACTCCAGTCCGGCAGCAACCTGGCCGGAGAAGACGACCAGTCATCTAGCCACGTCATCACCAGGTCACACCACGTCATCGACACGTCAGCGCCAAGTCATCTGCCACGTCACCGACGACCGGCCGATTGGTCCACCTGTCTGTGCACGTCAGCTGCCACGTCATGGACACGTCACTGCCATGTTGTGCCACGTCATCAGCCTGATTGGCTGCCCTCTGGTTTTGGCCAGAACCGGTCCGGTTCGGTTCGTGGTTCAACACTCCGGTTCACACCCTTTCTGGCCGGTTCTTGAAGAGGTGAGACCGGTTCCCACCATTTTTGGCCATTCCGGATTCAACGGTGTGCTCCGTTGGGCCTAGTTCAGCTTCCAAATTAAGGTACGGGAAAAATTGTACACTTTATCATGGAAAAATCATCATCGGATACCATGATTGCGTTAACTTCCACGAATTACAACATGTGGAAACCTCGGATGGAGGATTTGCTAAATTTGAAAGATTTAGCTGATCCTCTTGATAATAATGGCGTTAAACCAGATAAAAAGACGGATGAAGAATGGGCTAAGATGAACAGAAAAACTGTCGCACAAATCCGACAGTGAATTGATCATAGCGTGTTTCATCATGTTTCTCAAGAGCAAAGTGCTCACACACTATGGGAGAAACTTAGTAGCATGTACCAAGCCAAAACTGCTCGGAATAAAACGCTGTTGATGAGACGATTAGTGAACCACAAGTTACGTGGTGGCATTTCTGTGTCGGAACACACGAGTCAGTTCCAGGATCTTGTGAACCAATTGAGCACCACTGGATGGGTCCTCAAAGATGAAGAACAAGCAATACTTCTACTTAGCTCTCTACCTGATAATTGGGAGACTCTTGTTGTTACTCTCAGTAATTCTGCCCCAAATGGTACCGTGACTATGCAGATGGTCACGGACGCCTTGATGAATGAGGAAGCACGAAGGAAGGAAGCTGGGACTGATCAGTCTTATGCTCTCGTCTCAGAAACCAGCAGGCGAGGGGGAGGCAGAAATGGAGGTAGAGGACGAGGTCGAGGCAGAGGCAGAGCTCGAGGTCAAAGTAGAGGGAGATCTCAAGTTCGAGGAAGATCACAAGAGCGGGGGAAGTCCGTCGATACCAATACTTGGTTCGAGGGCTATTGCAACCATTGTGGTCATTATGGGCACAGAAAGAGGGAATGCCGAAAGTTTCTACGGGAGCAGCCTCAGACGAGTCAAAGTTCAAGCAAAGAAGATGGTGAGACCATGGTCACCATGGCACCAGACATTGCACTTGTTACTTGCGGAGAAGAAGCATGCCTACATGTAGGTACGCATGATATTGAATGGGTGATTGATACCGCTGCATCATTTCACGCCACTCCGCACCTAAATTTATTTTCAACTTATAATCCCGGAGACCATGGTGCTGTAAAGATGGGAAATACAAGTTTCTCAAACATTGTTGGCATTGGAGATGTGCACATTCAAACAAGTGTTGGTTGCACACTTGTGTTGAAAGATGTTCGGCATGTTCCAGATCTGAGATTGAATCTTATCTCAGGAGTTGCTCTGGATCATCAGGGGTATGAAAGCCAATTCAAAGAAGGTACGTGGAAATTATCTAAAGGCTCTATGATTATTGCAAGAGGTCATATTTGTGGTACTCTTTACAAAACCCATGTAAAGTTGTGTCATACAAGTCTCAATGCTGTTCAAGGAGAGACATCACCAAATTTGTGGCACCAGAGGTTAGGCCACATGAGCGTGAAGGGACTGACAACTCTTGCAAAGAAGGAAGCAATTTCTATTGACAAAGATGTTGCTTTGGACCCCTGCGAACACTGTCTATTTGGGAAACAACACTGGGTTTCTTTCAGTTCCACTAGAAAAAATCATTCTGAGTTACTCAGCCTTGTCCACTCTGATGTATGTGGACCCATTGAAGAGGAGTCACTTGGAGGTAGCAAATATTTTGTGACATTCATTGATGATGCGTCACGGAAGGTATGGGCTTACTGTCTCAAAACTAAGGATCAAGTATTTGATCGCTTTAAAATATTTCATACTATGGTAGAAAGAGAGACAGGAAAGAAGCTGAAGTGCCTTCGTTCTGACAATGGAGGCGAGTACACTTCTCGAGAATTCTCAACATATTGTGCTGAACATGGAATCAGACATGAGAAGTCAGTGCCACGGACCCCACAACACAACGGTGTAGCCGAAAGAATGAATCGAACTATCGTGGAGAAAGTTCGGTGCATGCTCAGTATGGCTAAACTTCCAAAGCCATTCTGGGGCGAAGCTGTGCTAACAGCTTGCTATCTTATAAACAGGTCACCCTCAGTTCCCTTAAACTTTGAAGCTCCTGAGAAGAAATGGTCAGGAAAAGACATTTCTTACTCTCACTTGAAAGTGTTCGGGTGCAAGGCATTTGCACATGTGTCTAAGGAGTTGAGGCAAAAACTTGATCTTAAGTCAAACCCATGCATCTTCATCGGCTACGGAGATCAAGAATTTGGATACAGGTTGTGGGATCCCGAAATGAAGAAAGTCATTCGAAGTAGAGATGTGGTTTTTCATGAATCCCAATTTCATGAGTTTACTCCAACACACAACAAACAACATGCTCCTGAAGATGTTCCTGTAGTATCACACATTCCTCTCAACAACGAAGAAGTGAATGATAATACTGAACAAATGCACGATGGCCCAGTAGATGTTGATGATGCTCAAGATGATGAAGTTCCTGAGCAGGGGGAGCCTTCACATGAAGGCTTTGATGACAGCGCTCAACTTCGACGTTCTACGCGAGGTACAGTTCCACAACGAAGATACCCGACATCTGAATGGATCCTTCTTACCAGCGAGGGGGAGCCAGAGAGCTTTCAAGAAGCTCAATCTCATCAAGACAAGTCCAATTGGTGGGAAGCCATGGGAGATGAGATGAAATCCTTGCAGAAGAACCAAACTTATGACTTGGTGCCACTTCCCAAAGGAAAGAAAGCCTTGAAAAACAAATGGGTTTTCAAGGTGAAGAAAGATGTCAATGGTAATATTGTGAAACACAAGGCAAGACTCGTGGTCAAAGGATTCCAACAAAAACAGGGAATTGACTTTGATGAGATTTTTTCGCCGGTTGTGAAGATGATGTCGATCCGAGTTGTACTCGGGTTGGTTGCCAGTCTAAATCTTGAACTTGAACACATGGATGTGAAAACTGCATTTCTCCATGGTGATCTAAAAGAAGAAATATACATGGAGCAACCTGAAGGTTTCCAAGTTCCAAAGAAAGAACATCTTGTTTGCAGGTTAAAGAAGAGCCTCTACGGTCTCAAACAAGCCCCGAGACAATGGTACAAGAAGTTCGACTCGTTCATGGTAGAGCACCAATACAGGAGAACAGTTGCAGACCACTGTGTGTACCTGAAGAAGTTCCCAGATGGAAAATTTATCATCCTTTTGCTCTATGTGGATGATATGCTTTTAGTAGGCCAAGATGTGTCTCTCATCAACAACTTGAAGCTAGATTTGTCTAAGTTTTTCGATATGAAAGACTTGGGCCCGACGCAACAAATTTTGGGCATGAAAATTGTTCGTGATCGAAAGACAAGGAAGTTGTTCTTATCACAAGAGCAGTATGTTGAGCGCGTGATGAAAAGGTTCAACATGGATAGTGCCAAGCCTGTAGGCACTCCGCTAGCCAATCACTTCAAGTTGAGTAAGGAAAGTTGTCCTTCTTCTGAGAAAGAAAAGGAGATGATGAAAGCGGTGCCCTACTCTTCAGCCGTTGGAAGTTTGATGTATGCAATGGTGTGTACAAGACCTGATATTGCTCATGTTGTTGGTGTTGTAAGCAGGTTCTTGTCAAATCCAGGAAGAGAACACTGGGAAGCTGTCAAATGGATACTCAGGTATCTGAAGGGTACATCAAAGCTGTGTTTGTGCTACGGGGGAGCGAAACCAATCTTGGAAGGTTATACAGATGCTGATATGGCTGGAGATCTTGATAGTAGAAAATCTACTTCAAGTTACATATTCAAACTAGCAGGGGGAGCCGTCTCATGGCAGTCCAAGTTGCAAAGGTGTGTAGCATTGTCTACGACAGAAGCTGAATACATTGCCGCTGTTGAAGCTGGGAAGGAGCTCAAGTGGCTGAAACGTTTTCTGCAAGAGTTGGGCTTTCCTCAAGAGGAGTACATCATTCATTGTGATAGTCAGAGTGCTATGGATCTTAGCAAGAACTCGATGTATCATTCACGCACAAAACATATCGATGTTCGATATCACTGGCTTAGAGAAGCAATTGAGGAAGATGAACTAAAGCTCTCCAAGATACACACAAACAAAAATGCGACAGACATGCTAACTAAAGTGGTACCACACGAGAAGCACAAGCTATGTACAAACATCATTGGAATGAGAGAATTACGGAAGAAGCTGGAGGGGGAGATTTGTAGAATTCCAGCTCCCAGCAAGCCCACTCCATCCTCCATACCATGGGATGGTCTTCCATCTCCTGCCCACTGAAGAGAAGCATGGAGAGGCATGGAGAGGAGGCATGGGTTGTAGAATGGGTTGTAGCATGGGTACCAATGAATATGTCTCCAACCTTGCCTATAAATAGAATACTCTTCCATTGTTCAAATGCATAAAAAATAAGAGAGAAAAGTAGTGAGAGTGATACACATATAGTGAGTGTATGAAAGGGTTGGTTTTTGTAATAGTTGAGTGAGAGAGTTGCTCCTCCTATTGTAATTCTGTTCTGGTTATGAATAGAAGAATTTTCCAATCCTAACACAAATACCAATCTACAAAACCATATCCGAAGTAAAGCGTGTGATCAAACACCGCATAGAAATTCAAAAGAACAAAGCATATAAACAAATAAAGAAAATCAAACTCTACGTTTTACAATATGAAAGTTTTTTCCCGCTGCCTGAGCTCCATAATTCAGAATTGAAAGATGGTGGGCTAGATGAAGATTTATGACATAGAATCAACACATAATGGATGAAATGGGAGAGTGCATCAGGAATTCTATGTGATCGAGGTATTTTAACTAGGCTGAAGGGTAAGTTTTATCGTACAACAATTAAGCTTGCATTATTGTATGACGGAGAGTGTTGGGCGGTGAAACCAAGTCACATCCCAAAACTTAGTGTGACTGAGATGCACATGTTGCGTTGAATGTGTGAACATAATAGAAAAGACCGATTGTGGAATGAGGCAGTTTAACAAATGGTGGGAGTAATACCTATTGATGAAGATAAAATGTGAGAGTCTCGATTGCGGTGATTTGGCGATGTGTGTAAATTAGTTGATGATGCACCAGTTAAACAAATGGAAAGGTGGGGAGCAAAGGCATGGAAGAGAGGGGGAGGATGACCCAAACAAACGTGAATTAAAGTTGTCATGAATGGTATGATGTTTCTTGGATTGGATGAGAGTATGGCCTCATAGAGAACGAAGTTGAGGGATAATATATTGGTGAAGGATTGATCTCTTTGTATCCTTTTTATTTCTGATTTGTTGATTTAATATGTTGATTCATGTTAGCCGACCCCAAACTCTTTGGGATCAAGGCTTGGATGTGGTTGTTGTTGTTTGTATCTCATTTAAAAATATGCACTTAGAAAATCATGTGGTAAAAATTTAGTAAAGAAAAATATCACCTTCATTATCATGGTAGGTTTTTGCTAATATGTTGGCTGATCCATATCAAGTAGGAAATAGCACAATCATTAACATTCAAGGCTCAACCTTCAAGATTGATGTAATATCATTAAACCATAAAATAAATAGTTTTTTTATTGCAAAAGTTTTTATAACAGTATCATATTTGTAATGCATGATTTTCCCCATTAAACCTTTGACCAAGAAAAATAATATAAAACAAAACTCAGTTTAGGAGAAATAATCCATGTGTTAGTGGTGTTTTAAATAATCATTTCACTGCATCTAAGAGCATCTCCAATGCAAAAAGGTGAATTGTGCATATGTGACATGAGAAATATATAGCTAATTAAAAACAATAAATAAAATATCTCTCTCCTTATTTGAACGTTCTTATATGTTTTTGGTAAGTTTTTCTCCACAATGTCAAGACATTGTGGTTGACTTTGTTGAGAAAAAATTACCAAAAACACATAAGACCGTGAAAAGGAGGAGATAGAAAGTCATAAACTTATTTTTGTGTCTATTTCTCTCATGCCACATGTGCACCGTACACCTTGTAGAATTTGAGATGCTCTAAAAACCGATTGTTGAGTTCATACATATGTATATCTTATGCATATTTTAATGTTGAGATGATGAAAGTCTTAGTAAATAAATCTTCAATTATGTTATTAGAGCAAACCTTATAAACATTAGCCAAACTTTTCTTCAAAAGTCCATTATTTTGCAATGCATACTTCACAACCACGTACATTCTTAGTTTACTCTATAGAAACAAGTGCTAACAATCGTACTCTTACTAATGGATCGTAATCTATAATCAAGATGGCGGCTCAATGTTAGTTTTTGTTTATATAAACGACCGGTGGCAGATAGCTTAATGTGCCCCGCAAGACAGTGACTCAGGGGAACAGACCAATTTTGTACTTCATGTGCTCATTGTTCAGCCTTATGTGGATCTAATTGCTCATTAGTAAATTTAATTGATTCTAATAACATATTAAGACTTGAAGTTTTATCATCAAAAATCAACCTCATAGAGTAGTTTTTTTAACATTAGTTTTTATTTTTTAACGCAACTAGTGAGGGATAACTTAATATTATATATGGCCACACTAGACTTGTTGCAGGGTCGGTCTTGGGACATGGGCAAAGAGGCATGCGCCCAGGGCCCATTGTTACCCGGGCCCATAAATTTCCCAATTATATTATATATACATATGTAATTTTAAATATATATATGCACATTATATTATTTCTAAAAATTTAAAATAAAATTAAATAAAACTTACTCCCTCCGTCCCGCAAAATAGTTCTCTGTTTCTTTTTTGGGTCATCCCAAAAATAGTTCCCATTTCCATTTTCAAAAGTTTTGTGTGGCTCACATTCATTTACATTTTTCTTACTCAACCACAACCATACATTTCCACTTTATTCCCACTTTCTTAAACTCCAATCCAACTGAATGCGGGAACTATTTTATGGACGGAGAGAGTATAATTTTTTATGCTTTCAATTCTTTATTCAACAACATCTACAAGATACAAGTCTAAAATTTTGTAACATCCACACCAGGATTCCTTGGGAATAGACTATCAATTCTTTGGATTCATTAAGGGTTAGCGCATGACGTGCACATGTCGTTAGGTGCACTCAAAATAATTAATCAATACGACACTAATACGTAGTATAGTGTAGTAAGGTTCATATCCACAGGGAAAGGAATACTTTTCTTTTAAATAAGTAGTAACAAAAGGGGGGTTTAGATTTGTTTGTTTTAAAAACACTAAGATAAACAACCTATATGAGTTTAATTCAATGAGATGGGGAATTGGTTTTGCTTTTATCCACTTAATGAAATGTTCGTCGATCCCGGTTATATCTTTAACTATCTTTCTCTTGAATACTCAATCGAGGAGTATATCCAGTTCATCGAGGGTAGTTATTAATAACGAGATGCGTTCATTAATAAAACTTACTATCGAGTCAATATAGAACAAGTGCCGTATATTAACTTGATAGTTGCAATAAACTTAAGATGAAAACGATTGAGATTGATAACCTCAACACAAGCGGTTTATTGGTTTAATCAATATAATTAATTCCCCTTGACATATTAACCATGAGATGCATGCATTAATATTCCAAGTTTACTACCGTTTGAAAGAACCGGATTAATAACAAGCGTATTAACCGATTGATTCTAGTAATAATTAATATGAGAAACAATACTAGTTGATACTTTAAGTAATGTTTAAGATATTAACATGAAATATGAATAGGAATTAATTAATACTCAAGGAAGAATATTAAAATAAATGAATCCTACTATGATTAATATCAAGATGTTGACTAATTGTCATCTTAGTAACACTCCCCAATATCATCATAGAGGAAGAAATAGATATTACTATAACCAATGTCAAGATGTTAACTAATTGTCATCTTAATAACACTCTCCAACTTTGATATAGAGATAGTATTTTGAAAGAAAGAATTCATATTCAAGGAAGAAGATTAAAGAAAATAACTCACAACTTACAAATTCATTAAGCTTCAAAGTAGCAAAACCAAGATGGAAGAGTTTAGCTCCTCATTTGGAGACTAAACATGATGAAAAATATAAAGAAAGAGCTATTCTATACTGAGCTTAGATGTACAAGGGATTGTATATCTTTTTGTGAAGGAAAGGAGGTGTATTTATAGGTTTTTGGGATGGGATTCGGGTACTCGATCGGGTATATACATGGTACCCGATCGAGTATGTGTGTAACACCCGATCCGAGGTATACTCGACCGGTTTCAGGGTATTTCTAAGAGTATACCCGATCGAGTATATATGCATACCCGGTCGAGTATGCTTAGAAAGTGGTATTCGGGCCATACTCGACCGATCTTTGTTTGCAATTCAAAGGCATACCCGATCGGGTATGTCGGTCTACCCGATCGGGTATAGACATAAAATCGTGGCCAAAATCTTCCCTGCATTTTCCCTTGTCTTCGGATCTGATCCGATTTGAAGTTCCAACCTAATACCCGATCGAGTATAGCTAATACTCGACCGAGTATAGACCAAAATTCAGGATCTTCTTTTGTCTTTGAACTTTTGCACCTTCTCTTCACTTTTTGGGTTCACCAACTGTACTTTGAGTGACCAAAACCTGCTTAAGCTCAGAATATATCTAATCTAACCTATTTACAAGAATTTAACAATCTAATCTATTACACCAAAAGTGTGTAATTTCCAAAGTAAAAGTCAAGCAAAACTAATTAAAAACATAAACATAGATATGGAAATTACGAACGTATCAACTCCCCCACACTTAAACCTTTACTCGTCTCGAGTAAGATCAAATGTTTACAAGTGTCAATGTTTGTCCAAAAGTTCCACAGTTCAACAAAAACATAATACAAACACAAAGACCACCAAGGATTACAAAGAAAAATGAGTTTTAAACTCAAATTACAAAAGAGCATCTTGGGTTTAATGGCCTCCTAGTGTTGTCTTCTTTTCTCCTCCTCTCTTCTTCTTTATCTTGAATCTTCATATTCTTCATAAGGATACAATGAGTGCCTGCAAGAACAAACATTTCTCTCATATCTCTCATTTTGCCTAGGAGCCTTTTCAGGTTTTCATCATAGCACCTCTTTTCATTTTCCATTCTCTCCAACTCACTCATTTTTTTTATAAGCCTTTTTTGCTTAGATTGCCCATTTTGTTGGGTTTTCAACCTAACTAGCATTTATTTTCTTTTGTTAATTCCTTTAGGGCATCAAGGCATAAAAAGCGGGAAGGTTTAACTTGCCTTTCAATTGTGGACATGAAGTGTGTGCGTTGTTCGTTGTCCACGAAGAGGATGTCCTCGTAGCCCGGGATGATTGCCCTAGTGCTTGAGCTTTGCCCTTTCTCTTTCCTTGGAGCCATTTGGAATGAATTTGGCCTTTGAGAACCGAAATTGGAAGGTGGGGGTAGGGTTTTTCGGACCTCTGAAAGTTGGGGGAGAATGGGATTGGTGGGTATGAATGTGTAGAGGAGGATGAGGGGAGTGTTTTGGCGTTGAAATGGGCGGATTTGGTGAAGATTTGGAAGAGATATGGTAGAGAGAAGGTGTAAAAATGGGGTTTGGGCGTTTTTTGTTCGAGATATGGTTTGAAATTCGGAGAAGATGGAGTGTTTTGGGGCTGATCTGGAGTTATAATATCCGTATACCCGATCGAGTATGTGCTGGTACTCGGTCGGGTATGTCTAGAAAGTGGCTTTTTCGAGCAGTCTGCCTCCTGTACTCGATCGGGTAGTGTATGGGTACCCGGTCGAGTATTGCTGGAAAGTTAAGTTTTTGAGCGGCCTGTCTCCGGTACTCGATCGGGTAGGGTGTTGTTACCCGGTCGAGTATTGCTGGAAAGTTAAGTTTTTGAGCGGCCTGTCTCCGGTACCCGGTCGAGTACTCCTCCATACTCGATCGAGTATGTGTTTTTTTTTCTATTTTTGAAGCAGGTACTCGGTCGAGTGTGGGAGTCAGTTTCCTTCAATTTTAGCATTTCTATACATACCCGACCGGGTGTATAGTGATACCCGATCGGGTATTCCTTGTTTTTCAATTTTTGAGTGCTTCCTCGATCGAGTAATGCCCGGGCCCTTTTCTTTTTGGTCATACCCGACCGAGTATAAGGTGATACTCGATCGGGTATGTCCCCAGATGCTCCAAAACCTGCATTTTTTTTCTTTTCTTCCAAAAACCCGTGATTAGTGCCCTCCTTCACTGATCTCTCAAAAAATTAAACAAAAAAATGAATTCTAAAACTCTTGAATTAAAAAAATAAAATAAACTTGGGCTGCCTCCCAAGAAGCGCCTTAGTTAACGTCGTGGCACGACGTTATTCATTTTTTTTAAAGTGGGATCGTGAACATCCCTTGATTCATTTTTTGTGGCCTTATTTAGCCATTTTTCAAATTTATTCTTCGGCCTTTTCCAGTAAGGCCGGGGTTTCTTTCTCGAAAAACATCTGATTTTATATGCTTCTTTGAAAAACAGCGGTTCTTGTGGTTCAACAACATGTAAAGAACACAGAGTTGGATTTTGCATTTGTTTTTTCGTAGAGTCCAAGATGTTGAACTCCACTTTTTGATCATCGAACTCTAAAGTTAGTGAACCACTAGAAACATCAATTTTCGTTTTTGCGGTCTTCATGAAGGGTCTACCCAAAAGGATGGGTGTTGTTTGGTCATCAGTTCCCATTTCAAGGACATAGAAGTCAACAGGAAAGACCATATTTTCTACTTCTATTAGCACATCTTCTACTACACCCTTCGGGTAAGTACTAGAATGATCTGCCAATTGAATCACTACACCTGTTTGATGTAATGGGCCAAGTTGTAGAGTTTTATAAACAGAATAGGGGATGACATTTATTGATGCCCCTAAATCCAACAAGGCCTTAGGAAATGTGGTGTTTCCTATTTTGCAAGGGATAGTGAACATGCCTGGGTCGTTACATTTTTCGGGGAGTTTCCTCTGAAAAATGGCCGAGACGTGTTCACTAACTCTAACATCTTGTTTCCCTTTCAATTTATCTTTTCTTTTTGTTTTGCATAATTCTTTTAAAAATTTAGCAAAACGAGGGACATTTTTCATTAAGTTAAGAAGCGGAATGTTTACCTCACACTTTGCGAAGGTTTCATAGATGTCGGCGTCTTTTTCTAGCTTCTTTGTCTCTTTCAGCGCCTCAGGGAAC